ACTTAAGAGTGTATCTTAATTCTAACATCTCATGTGCGTCGTGAGTTACTCAAGAATTCCCCTTCAGAGCACATATAAACAATTATATCACAGGATGCGTCAGTTCAACTCGAGCAAATAATCTCAGCCCAGCTGTCTTTGTTATACTCTGCTACTCTGGTATTTCCTTTCAGAGCGCGTTTTGTTTGTATACCCCCGTTTACAATCACAAGGCAACGTTAGTTCACAACACTTTGATTAACACATCAGTGATTCGTTCCTGAATTCATGCATAAACTGTCTGCGAGAGATCCCGGAAGACGAGCCCCCATTATGTTGTATATGTTGGTTATGAAAATTTGTTATGTTGTATGCGTGCGTGGGTGAATTATTATGTTGTATGTGTGGGTTATGAATATTCAGTGGAAATAATAATAATTAATGAAATTTGGCCAAATGTGTAATTATCCGGAAATATGTTAATTATGTAATTACGCACATTTTAATTATGCCAATTCGAGAGGTAATCGTATTAATTATGCGAGTGGGTGTAATTATGATAACGCAAGTCGTTATGATAACCAGACCCCGGTTCACCCCGTTATCGCTTTAACATTTACTGAGTATGTATTAGTGTGTTTATTAAGGTCACCAAGTTCAAATCTCAACGCAGAAGCAGATCTTATGCATAGATTTCAGGAAAGAATCACACAACCACTTCTGTATTGATCAATTTATTACTAATTCAACCTTAACTATGATATAGTATGCGAACTCTCAATCCCGGAACGTCAATACGGCATCAATACAGTATCATCAACGATTGTCTGATTTCACTTTGACAACTGCACATGGATCCCGCATAACGCGATGGTTGTTAGTGAGAGAGAGAGTCGTTAAAACATGCAAATACTATGCTAAGAAAACCTTAACGTTAATGAATGATTATACTCAATATTGTTCACGCAGTACCGCACTCCTTATTGATCATACGCAACCCTTATCACGTTGTTAACACCTTGGGTCACGGGACAGTTGAATATTCTGTAGAGGATGCGAGTACGTGCGGCGATTATGACTGAAGGATACTTGAAAGATTATACGGCGAGGAAAAAAAAAAACACAATCAAAACAGTTACTATTCTTAAAGGCACCAATCTCAACAGATACATCGGCAGGTTATCTGACAGCAGAACGGCTCGGAGTAAGGGCCTGCGACGGTGCTCCTTTTCCGAAGATTGTTATCTTATACCAAGTTTACTAATTGGGGACCAGATCACCTGATAAGGATCCGGTGGGCCACCACTCCCCACGTGAGCGTGGCTCGGCGGAAGGAGGTGCCAAGAATCAGTTCGTATTGATGGATCTGTTGGGAATTTATGCGATTAAGAGTACAGCCCACTAAATATTAAAGATAAAAATTAAGAATACTCTTATAAACGACGGATGGCCACCACTCGGTCTCGTTGTGATGCTTTCCAGCCACGGATGGCTTATGGGTTCGAGTGTGTTTGAGTGGTAAGAGTTGTCTTGAATAGTCAGTGTTCGGAGTCGATTCTTTAGGTCAAACAGACGCCTGGTGGTCGTGTGGTGAGGGGGCGGTGCGCGTCATACGTATCCATCGCTCCCCTGTCGGATGGCTGTTGATACGCTGTCGCAGTTCGGAACCCGGTCGGTAGGTGGCGCCCACAACTCGCTCGTAGCGTGCAGCGCTGGATCGTCGCCAAGTCGCGACGCTCACCACCGGCGGCAGCGGAGATCTCCGGCGGCAGCAGAGATTGACGAGCTGAAGATGAGTCGAGCCGACCCGCTGGTCGCAGCTCGCTCCTGAGTCGACCCTCCCGGTCGAGCTCGCTCCTGGGTCGACCCGCTGGTCGCCCTCGCTCCTGAGTCGACTCTCTGGTCGCACTCCTGAGTGGACCCGCTCTGGTCGCACTCGTTCCTGAGTCGACCCTCCCGGTCGAGCTTCTGAGTGGACCCTCCCGTCGCACTGGTTTCCAATGCTCAGGATCCTTTACTTTATGCCGAAAATTCCCCCTGGATCCCGCCCACAAGGCGGGGCTTCTTCCGATTTTTGCTGTGTCAGGATCTGTCCGTAGGCAGGTGTGTCCATGTGTCTGTCCGTATGTCCGTGTGTCCTTGTGTGCATCACTGACGGTATATTCGTTGTCACACTCCCTCCATAAAACCCACGAGCAAACAATCAGATGTTACAAATTGCCTCGAAGTCGTCTCTCTGTCTGGGTGCAATATTATCTCTTGTCTGGCCTTCTTCATGACCCAAAACACAGACGTTACAAATCGTCTCATAGGCGTCTTTGTTCGTGTTGCACAACCTGGAGGGAGGGGCAACACTCTCTCCGACCCGGCGCACAAAGAAATGGTTAAAAGTTTTAAGTTAACATTTGTCCCTTACTATTTCACAGTTATGATTCTGTATGTAACCTAAGGTCTGTCGTTTCATCGTGATGTTTGACTCCAGTGGAGGTGTTTCCCCGAGCGTATACACACTCCTATCCCGCGCTGCGGGGATACAAAGACGGCCGGGATCTCCCTTTCTCTCCGACCCTGGGTTTAACATTGTTTTTTTTATGTATTTATATTCCACCTGGTGGTGATTCATCCCGTTATCCTGGCTTTTCCATAAGTTTTACTTTTGTCTTTTTATGCATATACTTATTACTATAAATTTATTCCCGATATCTTAGGTTAAGGGGTAAGTTTCTTGATCCTAGGAATTCGTATTCCTTGGTGCCTGCATGGTTATATAAGCGGAATATAGCTTACGGTGAATAGCGTTAACATTGATGTTATGTGCGATATTATGTATTGTGATGTCTTTAACTTAACTTGTTTGTCAGGGCTTTACTGACACGAAGTTGCATTCCATAGCCCGCAGTCTTTGCCCCACCCTATCTCTGCTCGCCGTTGTTGTTGCCTGCCGTTAATTCAAGGCCTCATTAATTTCCGTCACTCCTGAGTAGGTGAGGGCGGTTGAACCTTGGAGTCAGTTCTGGTTTTTGTCTGCCTGCTTCTTCTTGTGTCCCCTGACCCCGGGAGTTATTATTCTACTTTATGGCCTGTCGAAGCCCCACTCGCTGTTGCTGGGCTGGTGTTGTTCCCGGCTTTTGCTTACGTTTGCAGTTCGCCGTGCTCTTGATTTCCTTCCCTCTTCAACCTTATATTGACTATTCGCTCCTGTCTGGGTGCGATTCAATTTTGACTTAGGAAGGTTCTGATTGTCATATGCTTCGGGTCGAATTGTATAGAAAGTATTGAAGTATGGAAATAACATTTCATATTGACTTAATAATGGTGATGGTTCAGTAGGCGTAACTTGTGGCCTGGTTTAATTGGAGTGGGTGTGAATATCGATAACTTTAGCCTACCCTGTTGTTAAATTCCGACTTTAACGTTACTTTAATAGCAATACAGAATAATTGAGCTTTTTGTCTTAACTAGGCGAATGCGAACTTCTGGTGACCCCCGCAGCCTTGTTGTTCAGCTGGGTCTGCCTCCTTGAGAGATATACACCACTCTTATTCTCGTCTCACTGTGGTCATCCAACCTTCTGCTCTGGGAGTGTTATTCTTACTTTCAGGTCAAAGGCCCCCTCACGTTCAGACGTGCAGGGTTGTTTACATCAGCTCCCCCCCTGTGCACGTGTTCTAACTAGCTCGGAATCCCTGAACACACAATCAGTGATGATTCCTGGCTTTCTGTGGTTGTGATTTAGACAAAGGCGCCTCTGTTTCTTCCATTGCCTTTGAGTCGACACTGCCCTATTATTTGCCCATGTGCTGAGGTCATAGAATTCGTTTTGACTTCAGTAATATTAACATTCAGTATTGGATCAGCAAATGGGCAATGGTTCATTGATGTAGCTCGCAGCCTGGTCTCCAATTTGAGCGAGCGCGAGGATCGATAATTTAGCCTACTCTGTTGTTGAATTTCGAATTTTGACGTTACTTTAAAACCATGCAGGATGGTTGGGCTTTTTGCCTTAACTATGTCTGGCTGACACTCCCACTGTCTCTGCCGCCTGCACGGGTGACATGTGCCCGTTCATCAGGCCTTATCTTTCCTTGAAGCAAGGTTGCAAATTCTGCCATCCTAGCCCTCCTCCAGTTCATTACTTAACAACACCTGGTGTTTTGCAGTTTGCTGCGCTTTTGGTGTGTTTCATTCATTAAAAAAACAAGTAAAAAGATAATATATAAAAATCATCAAATATTATTAATCTCAATTTTGGAAGAAGGGTTAGTATACAACAGTAGGTTCTTGAAAACCTCCACAGTTGGTAAATTCGCGGTTGGTAAACTGATGACCTTGTGGTGAGAATAGGATTTGGGGGACCAAGGTTGCGAGTGAACCTATGAAATCATGTTCACTAAAGTTAACCAATGAACACAATACACTAAATAAAGAGAATTTCAGTCACATTTAAGGACATGTTTAATTAAGGAAAGTACAGTAAATTAAATGGCATTTTCCTTGGGGGGGGGGGGGGCATTTAATCCCGACACTGGGGATGCATGACGACCACGCGACGCGATTGATGTCCACGGGCCCGCTGTGCCCCGCGGTGTTAATTTCATCGGTCATAGGTCGAGTCGACATCAACAAAGCTGTCTTTGTGGATTTCTTTAGTTATTCTCTTCGACTATTCAACTTAAGCAGTCCATCATTTAGTCCATGGTTGGATGTTAATTATTATTGAGGGTGCGTGCAATTTTTGCCCAAACCGATTGGCTAACCAATAGCCAATTACCGTTTTGGGTCTTGATGCGGTGCTTGACAAAATGATGGTGCTCTGCATCTTCCTTCGGACTCGTTCGTCTCTCCTCGTCATCGTCGGTGATGTTTTGGGTCGTGGTGGCTGTCATCGCGTTTGCTTGTTGCCCACTCATAAATGGCCTCCGGTACCTAAACTAAAAACTCACTTTGTCTTGACGTCACATGCACTGAACAAAATAACCCCCGGTGCCCCCCCCCCCCCCACACCGCCGCGTTGTCCGCAGGCGCCCCGCGAACGACACGGACACCTTGGTGGTGCACGACGACACGGGGCTCCCCTCCTCGCAGGACCCCTCCGGCGACGGCACTCTGATCGTTCACGAGGTGGCTCCCGCCGTTGCTACGGGGCTCTCTACCCCCCCTCTCTCTCGCGACCGCCGCGTTGCTCGCGATCGGTGCCGTGCGCGCTGCTCGCTGAAAGAAGCCCCCCCCCCACCCCATGCCGTGCGAGTACTGGGAGGTGTTTGACCGTATTTCACCGCGCTTGCCAGGTGCGGGTTGATTGAAGGTGTTGGGGGGGATATCCAAGACTGGGTCAGACGGCGTTCGTTTTAGCTACGGCCAGGAATCGAGCTCGGTTTGAGTGCATTATAACGTCGCAGCACGCTTGTGAGTGCAGATTACACAATTATGGATTTTTGCTGCGCTGCCCTCTGCCGCCCGCAGCATAGCCCTGCAGTCTATAACACCTGTTATGCATGGTGTGTGCCCATCTGACCGCTATCCATCATCAATCCAGCTTGGCTTTCGGGATCCCCAGCTTGGCTTTCGCTCCCCGTGCAGACACATGTACACACACACACTTGGCGTGCTAACCGCTACGCTCCCGCTCCCCACGCAGACACCCGTACGCACGTGCACACGCGTCGTACCACGTGCAGGTCTCGCCGTGTGCTCACCCTCGTGTCCTTGCGACAGAACGAGAAGAAGCGCGTGGTGCACGCCGACAGCAACGGCATGGCCGGCCGCAGCGGGGCCCTGCCGGACCTCCTCCCGCAGAACCCCAGCGCTCAGGGCCCCCACGGCCCCCACTCGGCGGCGTTCAAGGCCGTGCCCTACCCCCCCGGCTCGGAGGAGGAGGAAGAGGTAGCTGTGCGCTCGCTCGCGGCCACGTGGCTCCCGCGCTGGACGAGGCGGGTCGCTTGCTCCCCCCCCCCCAACCCCCCGCCGTTTGGCGCGCCGCTACTCGCTCTGCCTGTCTCGTACTTTTCTTTCATTTCGTTGCTTTTTTACTTTCGTCTGTACTCTTAATGCTAATTTACGTGCTGTGGAAGACTGGTAGGATTTTTATTGGATCATTGCATGGAAGCTAATAATAATGGTAGGCTTTTGAAGGCTATTGAGGAGTGTTAATATTGTTTGCCTTTCGATTGGTTACTTTAGGCATGTTTGGTACTCGTAAGCTTTCCCATAGTTATTGGTAAGTTTTCCAAGTACTATTCAAGCGACATTTACAAATTGTAGGCTTTACGATAGCTATTTTATGGCAGGTGGATAATGCTGCACCTTCTGAGATCTTCTACTCCAGGTCTGTGTTGAATTCTGCTAAATCACTGGGGATATTTCTGCTCTGAGAACGGGTGTCTGCGTCGTGTCCTTTCCAACGAGCAATGACGCATAAAGAGTGTTTTGCCTTCGTCTCTCTCTACCCACCACATTCTGTCTGCCCACACGGCCCTGTGTCTGCCCTCCTCCGGCGTCCGTTTCTCAACCCTGCCGCTCGCCTGCTTCCCCCCCCCCCACCCCCCCACCGGTGCCGCCAAGCCCAGACGCGCTGCTCCGCCCGCGCTGCCCTCTCTCCCCGCTCTCGCTTTCACCCCCTCGCTGCTGCGTAAGCTCCGCGCGGGGTCTAATTCGCCCATCCTAGATGCCTCCCGCCTCAGCAAGGTCCGTCCCGTCCGCGACGCGTCGCCCGCTCGCGCTGGGCCAGCGCGAAAGACCATCACGGTGTTCTCTGGCAGCGCCCTCGCAGTCGGACGGTTACGGGAAGACGCAGCCCTAAACGAGCGTTTATTTAGTAGCTATGGTAAGACCGCGTGTCTCGTGAGCCGCTGAAGTTAAGTTCGAGTCTTCGGTTGCCATGCAGTTGGCGGACAGAATTCTCCAGGCTAATTTCACTTCACGGGCTGGCTTGAACTCTGGCCGACCAGGATATGAACTCGCAATGTATCGGCTGTGAACTGCACCCCATCGTGACAGGACACGCAGCCAAGGGTCCTATCCTCAAATGTAAAGATCTGCTTGGTTTAGGTTGCGTCTTCTGTCAATCTGTCGACTTAAAACATTTGGTCAGCAAACAAAATTTATCCTTTGATATATTTTTAAGTAGGATGGTTAAAACTAATTTCTAATGGAACACGCTTATCAATTTGGGTGTCATTATTAGCAAGCCCTTCCTACAATCCAATTAATTGGCACAATATAGTGACCTGTTTTACGTCACAAATTGATTTGTCCTTTTCGCGACCGCTATACGCACAAGATCCTAAGTTTCCTTGAACCACAAATCGCGTAAAACGTCGTCGACAAGCGATTTGTACATGCACGGTTTCCGTTCACGCGTCTTGAGCCAAATAATTGATTTGTACTCGTGGAATTCTTTCATCGCACGGAAATACCAAATACAACTCGTAAATGTAAATGATAGCAAGTAAGTGGCGGGCGCTTTTGTGTTTGCGGAGAACACTGTGGCAGTCTTTGGCATTTGTGTTGCTTTTTTTCTTGCATTTTAAAAAAATTGTCACTTCCTAGTGCACGCTCGTGCGGTGTCCTCGCGATCAGTTTTATATTGAAATCTCTAAATTTCTCCGTTTTTGTGAAGCTCCAAATCTACATTTAACAGTAATGACATGAACACTAAAATGCAGACCTGAACTATTTATTTGGCTCTCTTTAAGAGCTGTGTAAGATATGATCTATATTTGCTCACAAAGGAGAACTTATTGAAGAACCCTTAATGAACTAATAATATATTCAACGTCTTGTACGTGGCGATGCAATTGCTTGTGCTGTGTAATACCAAAGACGACACCATCTATTGGACCTAGCGCTACAGCCTGGGATTAATACGTTTCCTGTCGGCAGCGCGTTCCACTTGTCCCCATCACGGAGTGCGATCATTTGTAGTTTCCAGCGCTTGTGATCGCACGCAAAGAGTGAGAAATGCAACTAACAAAACGAAGGCATCGTCGAGTCTGCGCCTCTGCTTCAGACGACACAGAAACGCGTGTGAAGAGCACACGGGACTCTTTGTATGCAAAAACCCGTGAGCATTTCCTGAACAAGTGCATTGTGGTCCTCTTGTCCAAAGAAATGCTGATGGTTGTTGCATTTGTGCAGAGGCTGTGTGCTTTTTTTTACACATTTCTGCATGTTGTTTGAAACTTACGGTTTTCTTTGCCTGCGGTGTTATTCTGTTGCGATGATGGATATTTTTTCTTGCCGGTCGCATATTTGATCAGTGGCCGTGCTTTGTTTGACACCGAGCGTCGTGTCGCCTTTCGTGTTGCCGCGTTGCCTCGCCGCCGCAGTTCCTGCAGGTGGGCGTCTCCCGCATGCCGCAGAAGAACATCTCCACCTCGTCGTTCACGTCGTACGTGCTGCCCAGCAACGGCGCCTTTCAGCCCTCGCCCTCAAACCTCTCCTCCATCTCCGCCGGTACGTCCCTCGTGCACGTATGTCGAGCAACGCCATAGGTCGTTAGTCCCTTCCGGTCAGAATGACCCCTCACCCGATTGTACGGAAAACAAGTGAAGTGCTGTGACTGACCGACTCGCGGAGGGACAAATTCTGTTTCTTATTCAAAGTGGGTTTGACGGCAGTGGGCGCTAGCACGGTATACACAGTGCGTATGTTGAACTTCTTTCGCACTGTACATAGCAAACCATGATCATCGTAGGTGTGCAGGAAGGACAAACTAAATACAAAAAACAGTTCTCAAGAAATGAGTTTTCAATCTAGATTTTAAAAGTGCATAGCTCAAGTGGCTTACTTGTATTGGAAGGAAGAGCGTTCCAGACGGCCGCAGAAGCGCATCTGACAGCGCACGATGCGGTGACCGTCTTTGTATGATGGGCTAGCGAAAAGCCACTGCGATAATGACCGGAGTTCGCGTGATGATGGTTTATGCTCCTTGACGAGATCAGCAAGGTATTGTGGTTAATTTGTGGCAAGCACGTTGTATATGATGAGTGCGACCTTATCATGTATTCATTCAGCCAACCGAAAGCCAATGCAGCTTGGGTATGGACCCTAATGCGAAAAAGAAAAAAAACGGTCCCGATGAGGCTGGCACGGTCCCCACATCACAGCTTTGCCGAAATCGGTATTATGTGCCAGTTGACATTCTTTTGACCTCCTGCTCAAGGCTCGATATTAACAAAGGGCGGCAGGGCTACCTGACGACTGGGTGGGATTGGCTTCGGGAGGTGGTGGGAGTGGTGGTATGAGGCACGGCCAAAATCAGTGCTGCCACTCGCGCGCGGGGAAAGTGAATGGGGGTGGGGGGGGCACGTCGAGATACGAGTGGGCAGTCCTCCAGGTGTCCTGGTCGAGACTGCCAGAAATTTGGTAGCTGCCCCTATTTGCACCTGCAGCAGGGATTTCTGTAAAAGGAAATTAGCAGTGAAATTATTATTACAATAATATTGTGTTACCTATTCTCAGGTTTGTCATTTGAGTGCCAGGTCTTGCATTGGTTTTAACTGAATTGGATTTCCATCCCTGCTCATCATTATCATCGTCATCAGCTTTATAATCAGCATTTAATGGTTCATCTCTATCGCTATCAGATGAATTATCATAATCTGGAGTCTTAATTCTATTTTAAAAAATCTGCTAATGTATTTTGTATTTGAATATAGTGCCTCAAATAGCTGCAGGGGTTATCGAACCAAGTACATGCAGATAAAAGATAATCGAGTCTTACATGGACGATATCAAAATTATACCGTAAACTTTGAGAGTTGACGCATCATTGCTGTTGTCATTGTAGACACATACATATGTATGTACAACTTCTTTCGCAATATACGTAGCCAACCGTGCTAATTGGAGGTGCGGGGAAGGACCACAAAAAGCAGGTCATTTATAATTAAGTTAAAATATTGGTGTTAAACCTCCAAAGAAAGTGGCTGTTTGGGGACGGTGGCGTTTATTAATGCAGCGGGAGCGGCATCGCCCCATTTCCGTGCGCGACGCTAACCACGCGCGGCGCGGTGTGACCACACAGCATCCCAGGCGTCGCAGATGAACGCGGCTCAGAGAGAGCGGCGTAAGGGCTCCATGGTGAACGTGAACCCGACCAACACGCGGCCGCACAGCGACGCGCCCGAGATCCGCAAGTACAAGAAGCGCTTCAACTCGGAGATCCTGTGCGCCGCGCTCTGGGGTGAGTGCTCCGGGTCGGCGCGTCGGGGTCTCCGCGAATTCTCCCCTCGCTTTTTCCGTCTCTGCTCAAACGGCTGCTGTTGACTTCTCCCACTAAGTTGGTAACTCGGAGATCGGACCCAGTCGGAACGAAGGGCTGAGTTTACACCCCCCCCAACCCTGACCGAGATTTGAACTTGTGCGTTTCTGATAGTGAGCTGCACCATAAAGCCCACTGCATTGGATAATTAAAATGCGGTCAATTCTCGATTTATCTGGCGTAATGGGAGGGAGGGGATAAAATAATACGGTTAAGAGGAAGCGCTTGCACATTTGGCTATAAAAAACAAACATTGTTTACCTACGTAGAATTGGGGTAAAGTAAGTAGACTAGGGCAAGACATGTCCAGGAGAACGGTGGTCAAGACGGAGTGGCAGCCAAAGGACGGAACACGCCTGCGACTGCGTCCGTCGCACCTAAGGAATGATGAAAGTGGCTCATATGCAGGAGCGAGACGAATAGTCGCATTGTGGGGACTGAGAGAGATGGCAAGGCCTTTTGTGAGGGGACAGGTGGGAGGGGGGGTAGCCTTCATCCAGCAGTAGATAAATCGCTCCATTTCCCCGTGGATGCCACTCGCGTGCATTAGGCGTGAACCTGCTGGTGGGCACGGAGAACGGACTGCTGCTGCTGGACCGCAGCGGGCAGGGCAAGGTCTACCCGCTCATCAGCCGCCGCCGCTTCCACCAGATGGACGTGCTAGAGGGACTCAACATCCTCGTCACCATCTCCGGTGGGTGCGGCGTGCCCCTGCCTGCCGGCGACGAGGGGATGGGACTGTGTGCGTGTGATCGTCTCGTCGTCAGCGACGATGTTTGGTGTCTGGAGAGATCCTCCGTGGCTCGTTCCTAAAAAGGCGTGAAGTGCAACTTTCTTGTAATTTGTCAATGAAAGCAATGCAAGATTAAATAATAATAGTAATAATGTAAACTAGAAACTATTTTTATTTTGTCAGGTAAGGCTCACTGAGCTATGTAGCTATTTTTCAGAAGCGTCCTTGCCACAAATGATAGCTCCACGAAGTGGCTTATAATGTCGAAATTTGTAGCAGCTAAATGTAGAGGGAATAACCGGAGGACCCAGAGTAAAATGTACGCGACTACGGGGAGAACATGCAAACCCCAAATATAGAGGCGTAAGGGTTGGGATCGAACCCACGACCTCCTGTATACCAGGCGAGGTAGTTAACATCTCACCACCGGGTTGTTACTAGGGTTATACTAAGGTTGTACTTTGTACAACCCTGTGTCACACAACTTCTGGATGAAGGCCTCTCCATGCCTCATAGGCCATGGGTGGTTATTTGACCATACTTAACCACAGTGGTTAGTTTGAATTATGTGAAATAGAGACCTATGACCGGATTAGACATCACTCGGGAAAGGTTCTCCGATTACTAATGTTAGCCCTGACCGGGAATAAAACTCTGGTTGCCAGGTTACTAGAGCAGTGAGCAGTGCACCAACCAGTGCCACCGCCTTGTCCAGTGGGGGAGCTTCAGGGAAACATTTTCCTTAGTTGTATGCTACTGGACTCTTGAGATTTGACTATTCTGCCGTGGTGGTGGTCCTGTGAGCGATGTTGTTGACGGTGATCACAACGATGGAGTTGGGCAAGAAGAACAATCTGAGATTGTTACTTCCTGTCGTGGTTGGTGATGATAGTCACGGTGGTGATGTTGGTGATGTGAGCAGGCAAGAAGAACAAGCTGCGAGTCTACTATCTGTCGTGGTTGATGATGATAGTCAGGGTAGTGATGTTGGCGATGGTGGCGATGTTGGTGATGTGAGCAGGCAAGAAGAACAAGCTGCGAGTCTACTATCTGTCGTGGTTGATGATGATAGTCAGGGTAGTGATGTTGGCGATGGTGGCGATGTTGGTGATGTGAGCAGGCAAGAAGAACAAGCTGCGAGTCTACTATCTGTCGTGGTTGATGATGATAGTCAGGGTAGTGATGTTGGCGATGGTGGCGATGTTGGTGATGTGAGCAGGCAAGAAGAACAAGCTGCGAGTCTACTATCTGTCGTGGTTGATGATGATAGTCAGGGTAGTGATGTTGGCGATGGTGGCGATGTTGGTGATGTGAGCAGGCAAGAAGAACAAGCTGCGAGTCTACTATCTGTCGTGGTTGATGATGATAGTCAGGGTAGTGATGTTGGCGATGGTGGCGATGTTGGTGATGTGAGCAGGCAAGAAGAACAAGCTGCGAGTCTACTATCTGTCGTGGTTGATGATGATAGTCAGGGTAGTGATGTTGGCGATGGTGGCGATGTTGGTGATGTGAGCAGGCAAGAAGAACAAGCTGCGAGTCTACTATCTGTCGTGGTTGATGATGATAGTCAGGGTAGTGATGTTGGCGATGGTGGCGATGTTGGTGATGTGAGCAGGCAAGAAGAACAAGCTGCGAGTCTACTATCTGTCGTGGCTGCGTAACAAGATCCTGCACAACGACCCCGAGGTGGAGAAGAAGCAGGGCTGGACCACCGTCGGTGACCTGGAGAGCTGTGTGCACTACAAAGTCGGTAAAGATGGTCGCGCAGTGGGCCCTGATCTCCCGTCATCGGCCACTTTCAGTCTTATTACTCGAGCTCCTTCAAACTATGGACTATTTTAATTGTTTCAGCGGGTAAGGCCCCTGAGCTATGTAGCTCTTTTTCAGAAGCGACCTGGCCACAAACGATAGCCCAATGGAGGTGGCTTATCACGTGGACATTTATCGCGGCCAAACGTTCTTTAAACGTGGTGGCCACTCCCACATCCTGCCTCCCGAAGGCAGGAAACCCCCTACAAGCCACGTCGAGTGTGACACGGCTGATGAGGACGATGCCGGTGACGCCACGTTCTGTCTGTCGCCACGTGTGAGAACAGAGTTGAGATTTTATTTTTCCAACTTTTTTCGTGATGTCCAATTGGTCAAATAATAAATAATCAGAGCCCAGCTCTAGGACTGTCACTTTCCCCATCGGCATGTGCCATAAATATTGTTTTTAAATTGTATATAATGAATTCTCATGCACGTGTTTTGTATACACCTTCATTGGGATTATATTATTGGTTTCATGCCAGAAAACGAAGTAGTCATTCGGATCTCTCGATGAGCAGTGGCACCCCTTCGTGTTGGAGAACAGCCAAAGTAAGCAGACATCCCTTCCACAAAGTAGGGGGTGGGGGGGCAGCACTTTCTCAACCCACTCTAACTGGCAGCAATGTTTGTGGCATGAGTCAAACCGATATTTCTAAATCTTAGCGCTGGACTTTAACCAAACATGACAGTGCAGGGTGATGTTTGAAGAGCTACTGGGTGCCCCCCCCCTTTTTTTTCTCAACTCAACAAACCCACATTGACCAGCGTGGTGAAGTATGGTCGAACCACCGCAACGACCGAAACGGCGTGGTTGAGGCCTTCATCTCTCTGGCAGTAATGACAAATGATGACTTGTCGTAACATTGCAATGTTTTGTGCGTGACGTACCCCCTGTCAGTTTTTAACGGCAGGTGTAAACCACCAGAGGCTTATATGCGTGCAGTGTGTGCCGGGTGCGTGCGTCCGGTTACACGTCTAGGCTGTGGCCAGCCTTAACACGGAGGCGTCCGTGTGCGCTCTGTCCCTGCGCAGTGAAGTACGAGCGAATCCGCTTCCTCGTGATTGCGCTCAAGACCTCGGTGGAGGTGTACGCCTGGGCCCCCAAGCCCTACCACAAGTTCATGGCATTCAAGGTCGGTGTCGGTGCACCGCTCTGTGCACTGTTATTGAGGTCGCGCTCGGTACACACAGAGTGCTTGTCACGAACGAACCACAGCACCTTGCTGATCTCGTCAAGGGGCATAACCCGTCTCTTGAACTCCGGTCATCCTCGCAGCAGCGGCTTTTGGCTGGCCGTCGAACAATGACTGTCACGGCAATTACGCGCTTTCAGATGCGCTTCTACGGCCTTCTGGAACGCTGTTCCGATTTTAGGAAGCCACTGGAGATGTGCACTTTTAAATCTAAATCGAAAACTCGTATCTTTAGAACTGCTTTTTAGTGTTCATTGTCTCTCCACCACACCCCCAATGAGCACGGTTGGCTACGTACGGTGCAAAAGAAGTTTAGCATTCAACTTACCGTGGTAGCGCCCAATGCAGTCACCCACTTTCAATAAGGAACTTAATTTGTCCGTCTGCCAGTCGATCAGTAACAACGGCACTTTATGAATTTCCGTAGTGTCGGCAAGGGCTCTTTCTGACTAGAAGGGACTATAAAGACTTATGGTGTTGTTGGTTATGTACAACCTTGTAACATACATTTCAATGTAACCAAACATTTTTACCCTGCTAGTTTTATGTTGTTTAACACATGACTAAACTACCTTCCCATTCCGCTTTAGATCATTGATACAAAGGAGACAGACATTACGTAGCTTCCAGACATAGAAATTATATGGACAAAAAAATCGAGACTCGTATGTGTACGAGACAGGCAATATGCAATACAAAATGCAATACAGGAGACGTAATCAACAACTCAAGCAAGAGGCTAATGGAATTAACAAGCCAGACCAAATGTGAATGATACAGAACAAATACAAAGAATACGTTGCACACGGGAGTCGAACATAATCGTGATTCCAGATCGCTGCAATTCATCAAATCGCAGGGAATAGGCGAGTGGCTATTCGGCGAATGTTACACCCCTAACTCCGCTGCTGGTTGTGCGACGCGGGTGTGCGCACAGTCGTTCTGCGATCTGGCACACAAGCCACAGCTGGTGGACCTCACCGTCGAGGAGTCGCAGCGGCTCAAGGTGATCTACGGCTCCAGCGCCGGCTTCCACGCCATCGACGTCGACACGGGCAACTTCTACAACGTCTACCTCCCCACGCACGTACGTTTTCTCTCCCCTGGACGACGCCGGTGGTAGTTGGTGTCTCGGGGTGGTTCGGCTGCGCTGGTTTCCCTTATGACTGCAGGGGTTGCGTGCAATTATTTTGGTTTAAATCGTGAGCTGCGCTAGGGAATCTCCTGGCTCTCCCCCCCGCACGTCCGCAGGGTCCGGTAGGAACTTGAGAACGTGGCGTCACGTTAGTGAGAGTGGCAGTGTCGCATTAAATAACAACTGGCGACGTGGTAGCCGATTAGCGGGATAAAGCCCTCCCAAGTTCTTCTCCGAGCATTCGCGTAACTCTTGAGGTTCGTGGGCCAGCCGATACCACGCCACGGTGCGTGGATCTTCCGTGGCGCAGTGGTTAGCGGACGTTGCTTCAAACCCAGCGACCCGAGTCTGATTCCCAGCCATTGCCAGCATCCGTGACAAGTATCTGAACAGGACCTGGTCGTCCACTAGGTCAACTCGGCATTAATTGAGTACCTGGTGTAGTGGATAAATATCATTGCTGCGGAGAGACAAAGGCTGGCCGGGCGAGGTTTTGGCCACACCATCTTCGCCTGCGTGTCGTGCCAGCCTTCGTAGGGACTCGCTGTCAGCGCGTCGGCTACACAGGGGACCTGCGTTCCTTTGCGCGTGCAGATCCAGGGGAACGTGATTCCGTACTCCGTCATCGTGCTGCCCAACACTGACGGCATGGAGCTGCTGCTGTGCTACGAGGACGAGGGCGTCTACGTGAACACCTACGGGCGCATCACCAAGGACGTGGTGCTGCAGTGGGGAGAGATGCCCACCTCCGTCGGTGCGTGTGTATTTGACTAGGTCTCAAATGAGAGTACCTGGTGCAGTGTGTCAACATTGCCTCGAGGGAGACAAAGGCAGCTGGGGTGTGGTGCTATCCGCTAACAGCACTTGCTCCAAGAGTCTGTTAAGGTTACGGGGCGGATCTTTGTCTTGTTGTATGCCACAGGAAGTAATGAGGTGATGAAGTGGATTTGATGGGTGTGATGGTGGAGATTATGTTTGTGATGGAGGTGGTAATGATCGTGTGGAGCTGTGGTGTAGCTGTTAGCGCGCTGCCCTACGAACCCGGCGGCCCGAGTTCGATTCCCGCTCATGGCCAACGCCGGTGACGATTGTGAACCGGTCCTAGGCCTTCCCCAGGTCGACTAAGCCTGGTGCGGTGTGTGTACATCAGCACTGGGGATACAAAGGGGTGCCAGGCGTGGCGTTCGCCACCCACCCCTCTCGTGTGTCGTGGCGGCTTTCGTAGGTGCTCGCTAACAGCACTTGCACCATCAGTCTGTTAGGGCTATACAGCGGATCTTTGTTTGTGGATATCGGACTCTGCATACGTGTGATGTGTACATAACAGCTATGGTCAAATAACCCCCACGACCCGCACAGGCATGTGGTGGCCCTCGCCCAGCAGGGGATTAACAAAAGGGCTGTGGACACGCATATGCGCAGGTTTAATGTGGTAAAATAAATGAAAGTAAATTAACTTAATTAGCACGACGTCTGCTTTGCACCCTCCCCAAGTCTTGCCCGTACCTTACTCGCGTACTCGTCCAGCCGTGCCGGCACGATTTATCGCATCGTAAGTGAAAGTTGCTGTCGTTTATTTGTTCGTTGGGCATTTAAAAAGTTTTGCCCCTCTTCTCCCCCCCACGATCCCTCCCCCGTAGCCTACATTCGGTCGAACCAGATCATGGGCTGGGGCGAGAAGGCCATCGAGATCCGCGCGGTGGAGACGGGCCACCTTGACGGCGTCTTCATGCACAAGCGTGCGCAGAGACTCAAGTTCCTGTGCGAGAGGAACGACAAGGTTCGTCGTGCGATCTCGCGGCCAGTTCTCCCGCGCCCAACCACCACCCCCCGCTACCCCCCCACGCCATGGCGAGCTCGCGCCGCGGCATCGCGATGGCGTGCACAGGTCGAACGATCCAAACAATTGTCACCTTGCTGCCGCGTCAAAAATACCTGGCCGCGATCCCAGCTGCCGTAAGCCGCTTGACCTTGTGCAGCCACGTGCCTACAGAAGCCCGCGATTGGCTTTGTAATCCCACGGTCCCGTGCAGGCGTTATGCCTTAACTGCTCCTGGGCCTCTCCTAGGTCGACTTCGCTTCAAATGAGTACCTGGTGCAGTGTGTAAACATCGCCGTGAAGGCGTGGTGCTGGCCACCCCACCACCTCATGTGCCGTGCCGGCCTTCATTGTTGCTTGCAAAACAGTACTTGCTCGTACAGTCTGTTAAGGCTATACGGGGGGGGGGGGTCTTTGTTTGTATGTGTGTGTGTGGGGAACGGTAATGCAGTGGTTATCACCTTGCACTATTAACCCAGAAACCCAACTTCGATTCCCGCTGACGGCCAACATTGGTGACGAATATCTGAATTGCTACTGGACCTTCTCCAAGTCAACTCGGCTTTAAATGTGGTCCGAGTATGGTGTGTGAACATCAGCACTGGGGAGACGAAGGTGGCCGAGCGTGGTGCTGGCCATACCACCCCTTCGTGTGCTGTCGCCGGCCTCAAGAGGTGTGTGCTAACAGCACCTGCTGAACAGCCGCTAAGGCTATTGGAGGAGGGATCTTTGTCGGTGTGCAAGGGAACGTATTGATGTGTGGCATCTTCTCGTCTTGCAGGTGTTCTTCGCGTCGGTGCGATCTGGCGGGTCCAGCCAGGTCTACTTCATGACCCTCAACCGGAGCTCCGTAATGAATTGGTAGCCCTGGGACACTCGCCAGGTTTTGCTGGATGTGTCGAGGGGGTGATATATCAGCGAGGATTTTTTTTTTCTCTCCGAGAATTAGATAAAAAGTGCAGCGGCACTTTTGATCCATGCACCCCCCCCCCCCCAAACCAATCCCTCTTATGATCATCCGGTCACGAAGAGGGGAGTGAGAACGGTTTAATCAACGACGGTTGGACGCAGGCGGTAAAGACACTTCGGTGGCGTGGCGTCGCCGCTATCGCGCTTATCTCCCCGCGATAGAATGCGGGAATTAACCTGTGTGCATGCGTGCACGGAGCGCGACAAACCCGCGGCTGCGGTAACTTTTAAGAGTCGGGATTGTGAGTTTTTACGAATCGATGTGCTCGGCCACGCTTTGCACACGAACCCCAATGGCTCTGATGCGCCCAGATGTCTTAGCAGGGGTTTTTTTTTTAAAGTAATTGTTTTCTAATCATATAGCCTACGCCATTTATTTTATGGATTCTTTTTCCCCTCCCCCCCCCATCCCTCTAAATCTTGTCTTCGGAGCGAGTGGGAATTTCGGCCGTCACAGTGTGATTGTAGAAGCGCCGTTAACACCGTAGCAGATTACTTTATTTTTAATGTATGCGCTCACTTCCTGATAAAACGAAGGAATTGGTCCATGACAGGTTTTAGAAGGCTGAAGCTTCGTGCTTCTGCCATAGGGTTTTGCAAGTGTAGCTATAATTAGGGATGTTTTGTATTCAACAGAAGTAATATTTTGCTTATTTTTTGCACATGTGGCAATAAGAGATGTTATATTTGTGTGAAATGGTAATGACTAACAATGGTGTGGACTGGGAGTGGCTAATGCAACAATGTTGTTGGAACTCAATCCATTAATTATATTTCAAATCCACACCTTGCATTCAAAAAGCCCTGGCCCTAGTATATAAATATTAACACATTTATAAAAGACACAATCTCAGCCAGTAATAGTTGCATTTATTGGACATTGATATAAAGGTTTTTCGATCATAGAAAAATGTATTGCAGCAAAATAGTCTAGAAAGCAGCCGAGGCATCGGACATTTCCAATAATATTTTTGAAAATCAAATCGCATATCCTTGACCTCATTCACAAAGTCTCAACGCCCTCTTTGCTGGGACAAGTGAAGGGAAAGAATCGGCGAATTCTCAGACCAAGTCTTTGTTGAGTGACTGCGCCAATTGGATGAACGTACCTTCTGCGGCTGGACATCCCTTCTGGAGGACACTCGTTTGATACGCACCCCCCACCGCACGCTCTTATCCAGCCACGATTGATCGCAGCGCACGAGCAGGACTTCACCGAAGGTGTCTACGGATCGATTGCAAAGCAAAAGCTGGTCGTAAGCGATTGTAGGATCTTGTCATTGTGAGGATGAAATGAATATCCCTAGACTGTAATAATGCTTCAGACTGGCCTCTGCCATGGGAATGTAGAATTTCCATCCTTTGCTCAGGTCCGCCGCCAGTGCACACCGCTGCATTGCCCGTCCAGGGCAGGGAGACAGACTGATATTCGCTCGCAATGGCGACAATTCCATTGCCTTCTTGCCGCGACGGTTTACTGGCTATTGTGACGGGCTTGGCACACGAGGGATATTTACGATTGTTACAGTTGCGATTTTATTACGAGCGCTCAGTAATCCTAGTGTACTCGGCAAAACCCCATGAGCGCAAGTGGTAACGTTTCACTCCGCCTACTTAATGGACCGATGATTTCTGTGCTTAAAGAACCATTGCCTGGCTCCGGTTTGTTACCTTATTTTACAAACTGGAACATGCACTTCCTACTGTGAAACATATTGCTCTGCTGCTTTGCAGACCCCAGTTAGCCCCTTTATAACAACAACACTGAGCTTAATGGCTTCCTCTCTTCTGGGTAAACAATTTAGTGGGGAGGGCTTCATTTTACATTTGGTTGGATAATGTAGTGTACCATTCTGTTAACGTTTAAAAATAATAGCATTGAAGTAAGTTTTACACCCTACTTTGATCGGCCATTAACAATCACGTTAATGCAAAAACTGAATACGTTAAATAACGTATCGACTGTTGTAATGGAGATGTTAAGTACGTGCCTTTTTTCCTGCAGATTTTGTAGCCATCCCCAAGTAGAGTAGCGATGTATTTTGCGCGACCGATTTAAATCATAAGTTTTTCATTGACTTTACGCAGAGCTGTCGGCCAAAACATTGCCTGGTTTGTAGCTTAGTTTTGCTTTACCTATAAGGACAATATTAAGTCCCCATTATATCAATCACACTGTCTCTTGCACTTAACGCTTAAGTTAAGTGACGCTAGGTTTAACTTGAAAGCAATCTTATTTGTGTATAGGCTGTGCCTATATTAGCGGATGTATTTTGCAATTATTTAAAACTTATTTCGGACATACGAAAGCTGAGGAAACGTGAGAGGCGTTTGCTTGTCTGCTTTACTGTTCTTGCCAACCCTCATAGCAACATTGTAAGTGGTTCACACACACAGATAGATTAGGGCCATAAAAAATATACTTGCATTTTTGGTTCTAATAAATCATGGAGCACATTTTTATATAAACTGTAACAAATTATAAGTGAAAGGGACAGGAATATCAAATTGATAATAGGGTTTTCCCCTTTTTTTCTGGCTACAAAACAGGTGTTAAGATGTAAAAGGTTTCAGTTTGGTGTTTTAACAAGGAATCATGTCTGCATTAATTATTGTGGTCAGAATGCAAACCAAAAAACATACTCTGATAATATATGCATTGTCCTTGAAGCTGATTGGTCCACAAGGTTTCAGTTTGGTGTTTTAACATCTTAACACCTGTTTTGTTGCCAGAAAAAATGGGAAAACCCTATTCTCATATTTTGGTACTGGCAAAGGAGGTCCCATAATGAATATCAATATTTTTTATTGTCAATTAAAATAAAACGCACACTATATATACATCTAAAATTAGGAGATGAAAATCACCAGTGCCTGAGGACCTCGACTTATGTTTTTTATGGCCTTAGTGTAATCCATTGGAGATGTCCACGTGGCTGCATTGTTCCTCGTCATTGTCGGTAGTCGAGGGATCAGGGCCTTGCTACTGTTTGAGATCACGCTCCTTGTCAAGTCCAAAAGCCGTTGATTTGGTAGAGAAGTATTTCGCACCGTCAGAAGCCATAACATAACATGCTTTTAGTGTGTCTCTACAATGCAAAGTGAAGCACTCATAACAATGATTTTGTTACTTATTTTACATTGCAGCACTAATGTGCATTCATTAAAAATATAGAATAAAACAGTTCAAACCCACATGAGGTGGGGCTCATGTTAAGAGTTCATTTAAAATCCCAGGTGTGTGCTTGTACGTGATGCTTTTACCTGCTTGCGTGTGCTTCGCGCAACTCATCGTGGTGTCTGTTGTGCATGTTCCCGGTGAAACCTGGCCAATGAGCTCGGCACTGCGGCACTGAAAACAAACTGAAAACTCGCGGCCGCTTGGGAGAGCCGTCAACGAGCTGCAAAAAGCCAACGTTGGCTTAACCTGTGCAGCATCCTCGAAATGATGGCTCTTGTAATTCATTTCCCGTTGTGCAAATGCATTTTTTCCCCGCTCTCCTCCCCAGATTAAATAATGTTTTGACGAGTTGTAGATAATGCCATAAGAGAGTGTGGGCTTCCTCCAGCATGTGAACTCGAGTGGGGGCGGTGGCAGGGGGGGCAGCGTTTGCGTATAAACTTCGTTTTTGCAGCTGTCCTCTTTGGCTCGCGTGTGCATGTGTCGCGAAGCCCAAGGCGGAAGGTTGCTGCACAGTTGCTCGCTACACCACATTGCTGCTGCTGCTTTTGGCACCGGCTCCACCGCCAAACGACACACGGATCGGGTCGCGGCGACGGGAACGGCACGGAAGGGAGGAACGTTTTTAAAATGCCCCCCTCAAAGGTTGCACTTTTGCCACCCGGTACGACGGAGCGGCGTCACTCGCGCTCTCCTCACACGGCTGCGCCAAGCCATTATTGCCGTACGACAGGTTCCCACGACAGCTCCACTGGCTGCAGACCATATGAATAAAGAGAGAAAAATGTGTTTTAAACATGCATACAAGCGAAGCGGCACTTCATTGTTTCCGAGGGCAAAATGTAGTTGTCAATTCTAGCCCTTATCACCTCCCCACCCACTCCCCGACTGTAGATGGTGAGCTGCCCTTGGTGATAGCGATATCCTGCCATTGATTTCTCTTTCGGGCTACAGCCGGTGCTGGACCTCGATGTCAATGTCCACCGGCCGCAAGCTGCACCGAACAGCTGCGTTCACCGCCACTCCTCCACACGGGTGCCTTGCACAGCTGCCAGTCCTGTACCGGACTCGAGTCGTTGCACCCGAGCCGTCGCACTGCCTACGTGTGGTCTCTCCCACCCCGACTCTCGCCGTCTCGTCTACCTTGGCGTAACGTGTTTAAGCATATTTCTGCACATATTTTCATTCTTGAGGTATTTATGAATTCAGTTAAAGTTAAGTTAAATTCTGACTTAAAGCTTTCGTGACTGCAGGAATACATTCTATGTGTCTTTCGGTAAAGCCACGTAGATAGAAAAATAATACAAATATCACGACGTTTCAATCGCAACACAAGCAATCGTCTTGAAGACGTGTTGCGGTCGTGATATTTGTATTATTTTTCTATCTACGTGGCTTTACCGAAAGACCTATAGAATAAGGTTAAGTTAATTTGCGATGCTTCATTTTTTTGTTTTACACCTTTCCATTTCGACTGAGTTTCAAGAGTAGGTAGGTGGCTGTAATCAAGTTAAGTTATTTTTTATGCATACAATTTATCAAAACAAATTGTAGGAATGTGTTTACAGCTGTGTAGGTTTGTTTTGTTGTAATAGTTTAAATGTTGGTATTTATGTTGTAAAGCATATATAATTTTAATAATCATGCATTACTTTTAAGTTGATACTACTAACGTACCATAAGATATCCCTATATTTCAGAACTTGATAAGGAACTTTTATCCCTTTCAAAAAGTCGAATTAAGAATAAACATTGAAACTTGTGTAATAAAGTCCTGCATTAAAACCTGTAAAATGCCACAAAGTTCCACACGTTGTCTTGGAAGTAAAAAAAAACCTTGCAATATCTCACCCGCGTTCTTTTTATATATACTGTATATATATCTCAAATCTAACTATGTTAAACTATTTTTTAAATATTTTACCAAGTAAGGCCCACTGAGCTAAAGCACAGTTTTTCAGAAGCGACCTGGCCACGAATGATAGCCCAACGAGAAGTGGCTTATCACGTGGAAATATATAGCAGCCAAAAACTCTGAACGCACGTTTCTAAATGAGGGGAAAACCGGAGGACCCGGAGAAAAATCCCCGCGACCACGAGTAGAGAGACGCGCAAGCTCCAAATATACAGCAGGTATGGTGAGGGTCGGATCAAACCCACAACCTCCTGTATACCAGGCGAGGTAGTTAACATGGTATCCAAATTGCAGACATTTAAAACACTGTCCAGGATCTTGCTGAGGACTTTAAAGTACTACTAGATTAATCGGTACTTTTTTACAAGCGTATGATTGCTTTTCACAACACTTGACATAGTCGATGCTTCATTCTGTTCATAATTGGTTATCAGTAAATTTAAGATGGTTCGCTCATTAGTGCATTGTGCTGATTTCGTGACGTGTATGTGTGCGTGTGCCTCTAGTTGCTATCTGGTTCTCAAATCTTAACGTCATAATCCAGAGGTTCCTATAACTTTATCGTTATCCACGACTGGATAACTTGATAACACCACAAGCTTTCACCCCGCGGTTGGTGCTGCACTTGGCTGTTTTCCACGCTTCGAATCGCAGGCTGTCGCGATTCGCATCCTGGAGAAATCCAATAAGCTATGAAGCTCTGTTCACAGACGTCCAGTGGGGGGTGGGTCAAAGTCGCAACAACTACGAAAGACGATTCGAGTGCAAAGTGTAGGAAAGGTAGGCAGATCATAAATAAAATAAAGTATTTAGATTCAAATTGCATCAGCTTGGGCAAGGCAGCAAAAACAGTCCCAGACTTCTCATTTTGGCCATCGAGTTATTATTTCCCACGGCCAAGCACGGAATGCCCTCTGCTTGCTGCACCGTCCCAGAGACTGCTCCGTGTTGTTTGTCGCCCTTTGGGTTTCTCGCCACGGGATTTGTTTTCATGTTCGAGTAAAACTGGTGAACGTCGCAAACCGGCAGGCTGCAGTAAGAAAAAATGACGATAATTAAAAAAAATTGTGAAAAGGTGAAGGCTTTTGGATTTTTATACGAACGGGTAAAGTGGTAAGTTTTGAATGGCCACTGCAATGTGCAGTCCGTGTGCTGACGCCGACAAAAGCATCGTCCATGCCAGGCGGTTTCTCTTTTGAGATTGAGTACACAACCTAGCAGTGGTTATTAAACCTTACCAGTCTCTTTTTAAATGTATATACACCTCAACATGTCTGACATTGGATTTGCTCACATAGGGACGAAAGCAAACTGAAATTTGAAAAAAGAAAAATCCGTTACCAGAGTTCTTTGGCAACTTCGCTTGCACCGCCATTTCGTTGTGGGAGCTGTTTTCGACGATAACCTCCCTCCCTATTAATGCAGAGTGACTTTTACATCGGGATTGGGGACTTATTTGGGGAGGGGTAGAAATCCCTTCTCTTTGCGCCTGAATCCGTGTTGTGATGTAGTTCTTCTCTTTGGTCCACGTGATTTTTCTCGTCCATTAGGCCAGGCCTCACCACTTTTGCACGAAAGCGGTGAGTGGTGTTGCTATTGTTTCCACTGCAGACCAAACCCGGACATTTGGAAGTCGGTCTCGGTCTGTTATCAATACTGTGTACTGTAATCAAGTTCAATACAATACCACCAGATATCGGTACAAATCAATTCCTACCTCCTGAGCACACGTGCCAATTCCTGGACTTTCCCGGTCAAGCCCAGGCAGGATGACACGCCGAGTCCTCAACCAAACGGGGAAGGCAGATTGATGAACCTTGCTCACTCACGCAAGGGTGAAATAAGCGAACTAATGCTCTGGCTACGCTTTGCAACAATTACGGGCTTAACCTGTAATGTTTTTGGTGTAGGGATACGGTTACATCCATATGCTATATTGCACAGGTACTAGAAACTATTCAATTTCCTGTGCGTCTTAATTCACTGCGGGATGAATGTGGCACGTGCGAGTGATTTGACCATCACCGCGTGGTCGTGCGTGGGGTGAAGGTGGGGCAGCAAAGTCGGCACAAGCTCAGTGCTCCTGTCCACCACGGGGGCAGAGTCGCACCCGACCTGGCGACCTCTGGGGGTCATGGGGGTCACCTGATCCCAGCACCATCCTGGCCAGTTCGCGTGGCACGCGGTCCGCATGGGCCCTGAATGCAACACACGGAATGTGACGAATGTCCAATGCATCTCCCCATCCCGATGTAACTCGGACCAGGGCCCCATGAACGTGGGTCCCTGGTGCAGTTCCACCGCCTGCACCCTCGACAGCTTCGCGTTCCCTCCCGCACTCTGAGATTGTAATTGCAGCGTGTCTTGAGCGTCCGTGGCCGAGACTTGAGTAGAGAGGTCGTATCGAGGCTTCGGGGCATGCGGAGACCTGCTGTCTTTCCCGTCAAGTTCACTCGTCCAGTGATGACAAACTATAAACTTTACTTTATTTTACCAGGTGAGGGCCAATGAGCTGTACAGCTCTTTTTCAGAAGTGACCTGGCCACAAATGATAGCTCAACGAAGTGGCTGATCATCGTGTGGACATTTATAGCAGCCAAATACTCTACACGCGCGTTTCTAAATGTGGAGGAAAACCCGAAGGGTCCGGAGAAAAATAATCCACGCGACCACGGGAGGAGAGACACGCAAACTCAAAATATACAGCAGCAGGCTTCAGGGTCGGGATGAAACCCACGACCACCTCCTGTACACCAGGCGAGGGAGTTAACATCTCACCACAGAGAGAGAGACGCAAACTCCAAATATACAGCAGCAGGCTTCAGGGTCGGGATGGAACCCACGACCTCCTGCGTACCAGGCGAGGGCGTTGACATCTCCTCGCCACCACGGCGCCCCTGCCCTGCGTGTCTCCCCCCCCCCCCCGTGAGCTATAAACACACGCGGCAGTGACTCAGTCGGGAGTGATGGTGGTGGCGATACGGGGGGCAGCACTGTACGGCTCCACACACGTGGCGTGGCTTCAGCTGAAAGGCCCCGATGGAAGGAGGCGGCAGAGGCAGCAAGACTCGAGCCACCGTTGAGACCATAAACAAGATCGGAGCTTGAACTTTGTCCGCGCTCTCGATAATCATTTCCCGCCGACGCCTCTTGATGACCATTTTACACGCGTGGCAGTTTCATGTCCGCCTCTAATTTCGCGCCTTAAAAATAAGTTCATTGCGAACGTTGCGAGATCAATCTTCCGTCTTTGTTTTGTATCGTAGCTGTGCAAGCAATCCTGCGGTTTGCATCGCCGCAGGCTTCAACAACGAGCACCCAACAATCTCCTACACAGCTTAAGATCGTAATTGAATGTGAGCCCCAAAGTTGCTGGGTGGTGATGGGCTCACCACCCATACTGAACCACGTTGGTCATTGCAGATTGGAGGTGGTGCGATTCGAATTGCAATGCGATATCTTTTGCTGCACTGCCTTTAATTGCTGCCTACACGATGGCTCTGCAGCCTATAGTACATGTTATGCATAGCGACCGCCAATACAAATACATTTTCCGGGCTCATATATTTGCTTAGCTGAGCACCATTGCTGAACGCCATTTCAATGGGATTCGCAACATTTGTCAATATATTGTTCTTCACAGAGAGACCACAATCTGGGGGGGGGGGGGGGGGGGGGTATTCCCTGCTTATTATCATCATGACCACTCCGGTCCCAGAATCGACTCGGTACATTCCCCGTGCTGAGCAGATGGTCTGCGGAAGGGGCCATCTCAGCACGCCCTGGTGTCGGTGGGCAGAAGACGTTAAAACGACGGCTTGCCCGGTCGTTCCGGGGCTAATTCTTGTTTTATCCACAACTCGCCATCGGTGAGTGCAGCGTCCGAGTAAACGCGAGACCTCTGCCGTGTCCCCCCGCGTGTGTTGACACGGGGGGGGGGGGGCCTTGTCGGTGTCTGTGGGTCCAGCCCGACTCCACATGAAGGACGACCTTCTTCCTAACCCCCCCCCCGCCCATCTTGTTTTATTGCTTCCGGCCACACTCGCCTCGGCTTACACACACACAGTCTCTCTCTCTCTCCATCGTCTCGCTGGAAGGAGGCTTCATATGCATGGTGGCTGTGTGTGGCCATCGCTGATTGCTACACCGATGGCCGGGTGGATGCTACACGCTGTGTGTGCACTATTACATGGGCCCAGTCTTAAAGCAGCAATCTCAGCAAGTACTAGCCGGACTGAATCCTCAACTGTTCTGCAATTGCACTTTTAACCATCCCAAGTACTGAGCAGGGTGGATTTTGCTTAACTTTTACAAAACTACACGAGTTGAGGCACTAATCGTGCTGAAGAAGAATAATGATGATGGAAGTGGCAGCCAGAGAATGTAATGAAATGTAAGAGGTTCGTTGAGATGGAGCGGTTAAATCGGCTCGTGATGGGCCCTTTGTGAGTCAGACTCGTGAGATGGCGGCGTGGGGAAGCAGTCATCCAGCAGTAGAGTAACCATGGCTGATGATGAATTATACGGAACCCTGCTTAATTAATGCCTTCAACACTCGGTGCCGTATACATTTCATGTAGTGACCAGACTGAACTTCGCTTATTTAAAATATTAATTCAAAAGTGCCTCATCCAGATAAAATAACCAGGTCTAAAACGGCCAAGCTTCTGCAATAATAAATTAAATAGCAATTCAGCCATGCAGGTTTCTATCCGACCGAATAATTATATAACACACTAGCGGGAAGTACCCGGCGTTGCCCGGGTCAAAATAATATTTCAAACCTACTCTGAAAAATCTAACAGCAGTGCATACCGACTGTGGTGGTACCTGCTATGATTACAGCAGTGCATACCGACTGTGGTGGTACCTGCTATGATTACAGCAGTGCATACCGACTGTGGTGGTACCTGCTATCACTACAGTAGTACATGCTGTCTCTATAGCAGTATTTATCGACTCTATAGCACAAAGTAGTCACCTGTTGCTTAGACTTATACCCGGGTTCCTACATTAAAGAGTATATGGCTGCTATACATTTCCACATAAGCCACTTTGTTGAGCTATCATTTGTGATAGGAAAGGTCGCTTCTGAAAAAGAGCTACATGGCTCAGTGGGTCTTACCTGGTATAATACAAACTAATTTAGTTTATCGCTTGTGATCACTGGACGAGCGGACATGACAGCAGTCTCGAAACCTCGATGCTGTTTCTCTCACTTTCACAGCACAGTACAGATATTAGGAAGCTACTGGGAACTGTGCACTTTTAAATATAAGATTGAAAACTCGTCTCTTTAGAACTGCTGTTTTAGTTTATCCTTCCCCCGCACATCCTCCGATTAGCACATACGGTGCGAAGGAAGTTCAACATACTACTATACACGATATACACGATATACACGCACTACGATGCACATACACTACACTATACACTACACCACTATACTACATTGAAAATTCATCTCTTTAGAACTGCCGTTTTAGTTTGTTCTTCCTCCTCCTACAATTAGCAGCACGGCTGCCTACGTAGGGCGCGAAAGAAGTTCCACGTGCGCCGTCGGGGCCGGGCCCACACACAGAGAGACACGCGTGGCCAGGCTGAGACACGCGTGGCCAGGCTGGGACCCGCTTGGCCAGGCTGGGACCCGCTTGGCCAGGCTGGGACCCGCTTGGCCAGGCTGGGACCCGCGTGGCCAGGCTGAGACCCGCTTGGCCAGGCTGGGACCCGCTTGGCCAGGCTGGGACCCGCTTGGCCAGGCTGGGACCCGCGTGGCCAGGCTGGGACCCGCTTGGCCAGGCTGGGACCCGCGTGGCCAGGCTGGGACCCGCTTGGCCAGGCTGGGACCCGCTTGGCCAGGCTGGGACCCGCTTGGCCAGGCTGGGACCCGCTTGGCCAGGCTGGGACCCGCGTGGCCAGGCTGGGACCCGCTTGGCCAGGCTGAGACCCGCGTGGCCAGGCTGGGACCCGCTTGGCCAGGCTGGGACCCGCTTGGCCAGGCTGGGACCCGCTTGGCCAGGCTGGGACCCGCTTGGCCAGGCTGGGACCCGCTTGGCCAGGCTGGGACCCGCGTGGCCAGGCTGAGACCCGCTTGGCCAGGCTGGGACCCGCTTGGCCAGGCTGGGACCCGCGTGGCCAGGCTGGGTCCCGCTTGGCCAGGCTGGGACCCGCTTGGCCAGGCTGAGACCCGCTTGGCCAGGCTGGGACCCGCTTGGCCAGGCTGAGACCCGCTTGGCCAGGCTGGGACCCGCGTGGCCAGGCTGGGACCCGCTTGGCCAGGCTGGGACCCGCTTGGCCAGGCTGGGACCCGCGTGGCCAGGCTGAGACCCGCTTGGCCAGGCTGGGACCCGCTTGGCCAGGCTGAGACCCGCTTGGCCAGGCTGGGTCCCGCTTGGCCAGGCTGGGACCCGCTTGGCCAGGCTGGGACCCGCTTGGCCAGGCTGGGACCCGCTTGGCCAGGCTGAGACCCGCTTGGCCAGGCTGAGACCCGCTTGGCCAGGCTGGGACCCGCTTGGCCAGGCTGGGACCCGCTTGGCCAGGCTGGGACCCGCTTGGCCAGGCTGAGACCCGCTTGGCCAGGCTGAGACCCGCTTGGCCAGGCTGGGACCCGCTTGGCCAGGCTGAGACCCGCTTGGCCAGGCTGGGTCCCGCTTGGCCAGGCTGGGTTCCGCTTGGCCAGGCTGGGACCCGCTTGGCCAGGCTGGGACCCGCTTGGCCAGGCTGGGACCCGCTTGGCTTCCGTGGCCGACACAAGAGACCGGAAATAGGCGGTGGTGGGGGGGGGGGCAGTAAGGCCGCCACCGATTGGCCGAGCCGCTTCGCGCGCTCTCCACCAACGGGCGCGCGTCTTGCTGGCGCCGCTTCCGGTCATCATAAAAGCCGCGGACTCGGGCCCAGCGGCACCATCGCGGTTTTTGTGTTCGCTGCGGACGGCGCCGCCTTCGTCAGCGACTCTGTTCGCGACTCTGTTCGTGACGCCGCTTCGCTTCCTTTAACTCGCAGCCGCCCGCTCGTTAACGCGCTAAGGGAAGCTGCGCCCGCCGGTGTTGGCGACTTGCCCTGCTCGCTTTGACGGCGGCGGAGTCGAGCGCGCTGCTGCTGCTGCTGCGGCTGCTGGTGGTGGTGGTGGCGGGCAAAGCGAGAGCTTCATTCGTGAAAATAATTGTCTTGTTTGAGCGAGAGAGCGAGCGAGGTGCGTGTGGCGGGGGGAGAGCGAGAGATACATTGTAACGCTGAGGGTATCGGGCAGGTCGGCGGATCGGGGATTTTGGTGTAGCGAGCTCCTTGAGCCCCGCAGAGCGAGCGAGAAGGCGGCGGCGGGCGAGGCGGCACAAGAATGTCGGCGTGGCAGCCCTACATCGACAACCTGATGGCCGACAAGACGTGCCAGAACGCGACCATCGTGGGGTGTCAGACCCGGAGCGTCTGGGCCTCCACGCCGGGACCCTTCGCCAGCATCTCGGTGCGGACAACGCGGGGGGAGACTGGGGGGTCCATGATTGTGGGCGTCGTGATGATGATTGATGCTCGATGTTAGCCGTAGTGAAGTCTTTCTTTTTACTCGTCATGCATCTCGGTGCGATGACGGTGGTGGGGGGGGGGTCGTGTGGTTATGTTAATGACGATCAGCATTCGGAGTAGAATCATCAGCAAACGTAGCTTCACTAACGCCATCGGCAGCCGGGAAAAATCGCCCTCCTCTCCACCCTGATCACGGTGCGAGGGGGAGACCACGGCCTGGAGCGTGATGATCGTCGGCAGTGGCAGTAGAAACATCGATCATCTACGTCTCCATCTCATCACCGTCACGGCCTCTCGTCGTCAGTACCAGCATCTTAATCCATTCGTCTTCATCATCATCATCAGGGGCATCTCCTACTTCGCCAGCATCATCAGCAAGAGTCTTTGATTCTTCTCAATCATCCATTCTTACCTTGATTATGTATCTCCTCTCTACCACATTTGTCCTGTATGTTCAACTTTTTCTCTTTTCGTCATCCCATCTTCCATCTCGGCTCCACCTTTTCAGTTTCCGATTTGGAATCTTCCCCCTCGCCTCATTACAATCGGTGCAAGGAATGAGCTGCGTTCGTGTGTTGGGAGGGGGGGGTCGCCCTATGTGCGTCTCTTCGACTTTCCACATCAACTATTCCCCTTCCACCTCATCTCGAACGTCAATCTTGGACCTTTGCTCTGGTTCCCTCCGATTCGGCCTCATTCTTCCCCTCCATCTCGGGTGTCCAAGACGTTGCGACCCCCCCTCCCTCATCCTCCACCTCCCCCCATCCTCCACCTCCCCCCCCATCCTCCACCCTCCCATCCTCCACCCCCCAATCCTTCACCTCCCATCGCCGATCACTGCACGGGGCGTGCAGACTCGTAGTGGCGTTTAACAGCTTCACCTTCTGATATGATGTTGGCTTTTTATAATATCCTTGGCTTATTTCACTTCGTTTCATTTTAACAAGTGTGTGTGTGCTTCTAGGCACTCTTATTACTTGAGCTCCGTTGTCCATCTGCGCATTTTAAATGCTGTAATGGCTAGAAATGGTTACTTGTCCATACAGCATTTAGACTTTGAAGTGTGTTTCCAATTGTAAATTCCATTGAGTTATCTATAATTTTATCAATTTTACAGTACATTTTATTTTGGTCATGCGTCCCATTCACTCTATCACCTGCAATTGCCTCGCTCTGGTCCAATATTTGAATATCATATTTCATCGACACTAATCTCTCCGTTTTCTTAATTTCCACCTCGTGGTTTTACAATGTCATGCATTCATACGATGTGTACGGCTACACAACACTGCATTGGACATTTGACAACGCTTGCATTTCAAGGATAATACAACGTAAAGTGGTTTTTATTTTATTGAAACGTATTCTTCATGTTACTACATCGGTAATACTTGGTCATAATCGATAGTTAAATCGTAAGAGCGAGCGAGCAAGGGTCTTTAATTTAGCCCACCGGGATGGGGCCCAGGCATCCGCTTGCTTGTCCGCCTTGTGCATTGCAACAAAGACGTTTAATCCATCGAGTCGATGACACATTCACATTTTACTTTAACATGCCTTGCTCGCTTATTCTGTGTCCGCTGTTGCTCATGATGATGCTGATGATGCTGCTGCTGATGATGATGATAGTGTGGCCTGTAACGGAACTGCGTGAGTGTGCAGAATTGACCAGGGGAGCCCGGTTTTCTTTAAACCCCGTTTGAAAGAGAGCCACAATGGCAGGATTGATTGGAATGCACTGTACGGTTACATAGCGTATCCTGAACCGCATGGCCATACACTTCTTCGCGCACAGTACACACGAGGTGTTTAAGTAAGTAGGGTTTGTGAGCTTCTAATCGCACGAGACGTTTGTCGTTATTTTTTTTAATTTGCTAGTGATAGGGTTATTTTTAAAACGACGTGTTTTTAAACAATGTAACAATGCACGGGGATGATTTTGCAAGAAAACTCTTAAAGACACTCGACTAATTCCTGTGACTAAAGTCGCCCGGCTCGCGCCAATCCTGTGATGCAAAGCGTGGCTTGGCCTGGAAGGCGCTTCAATAGGCAGGCGACCCCCCCCCCCCCATGCATAAAAGATGCCTTTTAGCCGACTGCTGGGCTACGTTGTCGGCAGAGAGCCGTGAAGCACAATCGTACGTTGTTGTACCGTACCGCTACGGTCCAGCGCCCTGTGTTGCCCAGCTTCAACTCGCTCTGACCAGCTTCAACTCGCTCTGACCAGCGCGGTGAAGTATGGTCAAGTCATCCGACGCGGGGGGTTTACATCGGCCGTACCCGTCTCGACGCTGCGTGTATACAGTATATATACAGTATGTATAGAGTACATACAGTGTATATACAGTATGTAACCAAGACACGTGGCTGAATGTAGCAATGCCCGTCGTGAACCCCCCTCCACGCCACCCTCCATGAATGCAGTGGTGCAGTCGGTCTCGGCGTGCTGCTGCCACCGCTGTGACAATGCGCGACGACTTGTGGCGGGTTGATGACAAGGCGTGCACTGTACTTGCATTATTATTCATGTCATTGTATACGATGTCTTAGAATGGTGTATCTATGTGCATGGGATAGCCCATGTTGCCAGGCCGTCCTGTGCCCTGGGGGTTTTAGCCGTGCTCTACCGCGCTGGTCAGTACGGGTTGGTTGTAAACTAAAACTCTCAGCTATTTTTTCAACTTTAAATTATTTTTTATTTGACTTGGCTATGTCGCTCGTTCAGAAGCGACCTGGCCACACATGATAGCTCGACGTGTAGTGTCTTGTGGAAATGTATCGCGGCTAAACGCGTGACGTTCATTCTAAATGTGGAGGGAAAACCCGGAGGAGGACCCGAAGAAAAATCCTCCCGACCACGGGGAGAGCGACACGCAAACTCCAAACATAGAGCAGCAGGCGTCGGGGTCGGGGTCGAACCCACAGTGGAGGGAGTTAACATCCTCGCCACCGTGGTTGTGGCAGACGGCATCATAGGGGTAGACTGCAGCGAGGGATCTTTCAGTACTGCTCTGCTGCTCAACTCGTGTTCTCATGGCCAGTAGCAAGCGTGTTGTGGGACATGGTGGTCACCCATTGAAGCACTGTCCAGGCGTGACGCTGCTTAGCATCTGAGCCATAGCCATGGGCCAAATAGCTGTCACCACTGTCTAAATGAGTACACAGCAGGCCACACGACTGCTGAGGCTCACTCAAGTCGAAAGCCATCCAGTTTATCTGCTGAAAACATTGGGCCAAAGGCCAAAAGGCTGATGACCCTTAACTGCTGTATCTTTACATGGTAAAACGTACACTTGTATTTTACCACCCATAACCATTCAAGGTTGAGTGCTGTATAACAGTACTATGATGCATTTTAATCGCTGCGAGGGTTAAGTATGGGCACTCCAAAGAAAGTGTCCATAGTTGTACTGTACTGACATGCACCCTGAGCCGTCAACCCGCATTGACCGGCGGGGTGAAGTATGATGACACAGCTGAGGCTTGACAACGGGCTCTCGACACGTGCATTTCATTAATGAAAGAAATCTTGAACACCGCCCCATTCACTAGTCGACTGGTCGTACCTTTCACTGTACAGTACACAGCGACACCGATTTGTATGTGCGAGGCGTTTGCACTATCGTCCACGTGTAGTATATAGAAAACTCGTGATGCTGATGGGGGGTGGTGGGGAGGATGTCTTCGTGGTAGTGATGTCTTTGTTGGAGGTGGCGTTGGTTATTTATAGTGGGGAGCGGTAGTTGTAGCGCCAACACCAGTGACGATTATCTGAACTGGTCCTGTGCCTCTCCTAGGTCGACTTGGCCTCATGGATACCTGGGGCGATGTGTAAACATCGCCATTAGGAGGGGTTCCTTGTCTTTTGTAATGCTGTGGTTGTGGAGATGTGCCGAGTGTACTGAGATTGGGGTGGGGGGGGGCTGGGAGCGAGTTTGAACGCTCGAGGTGTGTGCGCGACATCGCGTTGTGGCTTCATCTCCCGGCCCTCCCAACCTCCATCCCTTTCTCCCGTCGCCTACCCCAACCCACTCGTCCTCCGTGCCATGGCCGCGCCTGCCACGCGTGCTCCTGGTGCCTGGGAGCCGAGGGGTCATCGCTGGGTAAAGAGCGACGCGGCCCACGTGTAAGGATGCCCTTGGGCTGGGGAGGGAGAGTGGGGAAAGCGAGCGAGGGAGAGAAAGAGGGGGGAGGTTTTTTTTAATCCTGACGAGCGAGTTACTAACGATGAGTCAGACGTTTTTCCTGGCGATTGTTGGTTATATTATTTATGCATAACTGCTCTGGGTATGACTGAAAAAAGTGTGCATTTTAACACGGATAACAAGATGATTCACTCTAAAGTGGGGACAAATTCATCTTAGTCACATTATTTGTGGATAGCCTATGACCAAATCACCAGAAATGCACCAAATCCCATTTAAGATGTTGCATGTTGAGCACACTCGAGCCTGGCTCGTGCTTGTTCTGGGTGACCACAATGCACAACAGGTTGCTATAGTAGGCTACGAGATTGCAGTGATGCAGTGAAGTCTTTTGTGCTGTACTACGGACTCGCGTCCCCGCCTCTCCACTTTGACCAACCCACACTCGTCAATGAGCCCCCCCACCATGATCCGCACTGCGTGGGGAGACCCTCATCCTGAAGTTGGGCCGTACCTGTCCGTTGCGTGGGTCAACTGAGGACTACGACGAGAATGCGACGCTCCCACCGCTTCCACAGAATTTTCTGCACGAGATGTCCACTGGAGTCTGGATGTGAAAACGGACTGTAGTAAAATAACTTGAACAACAGCATGATTATGGTAGGCAGTTGTGGTTCTATTCAAGATTACATTATTTTTGTATAGTATTTTTTTCTGGTTAATTTGTAGAGTTTTGAGCCTTAATGTAAATAGAACATTGGCCTACCATTTTGCTTGTGATTTGCATACGTTTAAAATTATAATTATGCTTGTTACGTTGCTGTAAAAATCTTAATTTAATCAATGCATCGTCAAACGTGCCTCAGATTAATTGTATTCACTGGGCAGTCGATGTGCTGCGAATACGGCCACACAGAGATGTATATCTGAGATTTGAAGTCCACGATCATATTAACTGCTTTGCTAAATATTGCTGTTATGTATATCATGACTCCCATATAAAAAATATCTGACAATAGTTTTTAGATAATGATAGCTCTATGTAGCTATTATCTATTAAATCGGTGCTTTGCAAAATGTTTCCTTGAGTAATTAATGCCTGAAATTTATTAACCATCATTTTCATAATTTATTAGATTATTTTATATCATGTAACTGGCAATGTGCACCAAGCTTGTACAGTTAGAATGATTAAAAGACTTTGGGCTATGTTGGGTGAATTTCAATCCAATAACTTTTTGGTAATCTTCATCTCCTGGTAGTACAGCCGAAGCATGAATATGATATGATAAACTGATACCGTTACGAAGTTATGCAAAACTGATATCGCACTAATCGTCTTTCGTTGAAAATCGATATCCTCCCGTGACACGATACCTCGGCAAGCCCTCCTGGCCAGGGACCCACAGCTGTCAACCCCACGTGGCCCGCAGCGTAGCGCGGCATGCTCTTATAGGTGTCCACGTAAGGGAGCGACCGCCGGCTTCTCGTGCAGCGGCTACGGCGATTTAGCAGGTGCGCACTCATCGTACCGGTGGCCTCCCCACGTAGAATGATTTTGTCAGCCCTGCGACAAACCTGACCTGCCGCCTGACCTCGACAGCTGACGCCTGACATTGTCGTCCGTCACGCGCCTCGTGAAATGCGCCACCGCAGAAACCCGACTGTGTTTTATAGTCGCGTCGAATCGAGAGGTGATTGTGGCCGATGTTCTTGTTACCACACCTCGCAAATGGATTCTTTCTGCTAGATTCCACAGCAGTTACAAGCTTGATACCTGACCCCCCAAGGTCTGCACTTAGTCGTTATCGTGATAAGATTGTAAGAGGAGACCTTTGGGTTCTTCCTTTTGGTCACCAACCTCTGGGTGCCACTCGGATGCCTGTCTCTGTAACCTGCCCTCTACCCTGCACACAGTCCCCACCCTTCCCAACTGCCTCTTCCTGATAACATCTACAATGCTGTCCTACCACGACTAATTCTACACTTTGAAGCCGCTTACCCTGTTAGTCCGTGATATTTCTTTTTGCAGGTATATAGTGGAACGGTGGTAATGATGTCTTCCTGCAGAACATCTTTTAGTGAGCATTTTGTGTGTGTGAAGTAACCAATGTCAACCATCAAAAACCACGCAAACTAAACACTGCACATTTTAAAACAACCTCCTCGATAGACTTCCTCCTCCAGGCACCTCATTTGCCATGCTCTAATTAGTTGGTTGAGAATGATTGCTTAACTTCTGTGTGATCCCCACCACCTTCGCTTCCATCCAAGTTGGTGGATGATAGACCTCCACCACCGGGCCCTGAAATGTGTTTCGTGCATCACGAGAGAGAGAGAAGACGTGTTCAGTAAGGACGACCTGCTTTGTGATTGGTTGCGTGCTTACGAGGATGTCATTATTTCCTCAATTAAAATAGACTTGCACAAAATATACTTGAATCAAATCAAGATTCTGTAGATAATTTACCGTTGTGTGTGCCTCGTGTTGCACAATAAGGACAGGAAAAGATATAATCTTAACCCTCATTTGTAACAATTAATTTATTTGTAGTTGGGGGGGGGGGGGGGGGGATATTTTTGCTGTCTCTCATGTTCACTCTTTAGAGTGGCCCCCTGCCCCTTGTGAAGGCTTTATGTTGTAGCGGTGGCTCAATGGCTTGGAGGGGGAGGGGTCACCACTGAGCCAGCGCTACGACAATGCTGGGTTCCAATCGGTCTTGGCAAGGTTGATCATCTCAGCCCGGTCGTCAGTGACTGCGCAAAAAACCTCACTTAATTTGTTTCCTTGACTGAATTTGGTTAATTCCAGCTTTTAAAAATGAAAAAAACCATTGACCGCCATGCCTGCAACAGCACGTGTGGGAAAGTGCGCCCCTAGCGCACGTATCAAGATTGCCGCGTGAGTGTCTCCGAAGCTGCTCTGATATCTCTTCCGTGGATGGGCTGCTCGCACACAGAGCAGTGCCTTGCTCTGTGAAAGAACAACGTTGATTGTGCTATCGCAGGTTACACCACGAGATGAACAATCGGGATACAATTCGGCGTAAAGCCTTTCAATGTGAACTTCAGAAAAGTCTTAGTTTACCATGGCAAGTGAGAGATGATCGCTTACTTTCCGATCGAATTCCCTTCCAAATGTAATTGGAAATGATGACATGTGTTTTCATCCTGTTCCATTTAAATCCTGACACTGGTGGGGTGGTGTCGCTTGCAGCCGGCCGAAATTGACATGTTGCTGACCAAGGACCGTTCCTCGCTCTTCACCAACGGCATCACGCTGGCGGGACAGAAGTGCTCGGTGATTCGAGATAACCTCTTTGTGGAAACCGAGTGGACGATGGACATCCGGACCAAGAACCAGTCCGGTGGTCCCACTTACAACATCGCCGTCTCAAAGTCCAACCAAAGTGAGTGCCCACAGCAGGTTTCTCTCCGCCGCACCGTCCATCACGCCTCCCGTGGGATGGGCGCGATCGGTTTCCTGAAGGCTGCTGTGTGGCAGGTGGGGGGGGGGGTGGTTTGTGTGGCAGAATCCGCTTTAAATTGGATTTTTTTTTTTGCAGGAAAAAAAAGAGACTCTTTTGTTTTTTTTGGTTTGCAGAGAAGTTGACTGCTGCTGCTGCCTTGACACCCCCCTCCCCACAGGTCCACCAGACCCCGCGAGTCTTGAGTCTGAGGGTATAATTGGCTAGTATGTTTGTATAACGTGCCGCTCGCCTAATTGGCCTGTGTAAGTTTTATTGAGCGGGTTTAGTTTTTAATATTGTGTAACACGTACGGCGAGCTTGTCAACCCACTGCTGGATGTGGGCCTCCCCCATGCCCCTGTGGGTTGTAGGCTGTTATTTGACCCTACATCACAATGCTTAAGTGTGGGTTGATAAAAGTGGTGGTAAATAATGTGCGCATGGAAGTACTGTACAACAATGTATTTTGTTGGACTGCCCTCTGCTGCCCACCACTAGGAGTCATGTTTCATAGGGTCTTGCATAGCAAGTGTACATTTTTTTCTGCATGCTTTTAATCAATGTATTTGCAGTACAGTGCTACAACCTCTGAAATAAATCGTCGTTTTTAGAAGTGGCATGTTTGACTTGCCTTGCTGCCAAACCCATAAAAAGAACCACACACTCGTGCGCTAAAACTATCAGAACATTTTAAGGAACGGGTCTGCCGACGCTCCATGGGCAGTGGCTATTGATTTCTGAAGGCATCTAAAAAAGAATCCTAGCCGTTAATCCTAACGCATGCCAACAACGCCTCCTGTGAGAACCAATTCACCAGATGCATGCACGGTTACATTAGCGTCCACAGGTGACCTTTGAAAGCAAGATAAGGGGCTTGCGCGCCTTTGTACAAGGGGTGGCGCGGTGTCGAGACGTTCACTGCCAGGTATACAGGAGGACGTGGGTTTGATCCCGATCCCGACGCCTGTATATTTGGAGTTTGCGTGTTTTCCCCATGGTCGCATGGGTTTTTCTCCCGGGTCCTCCGTTTTTTCCCTCCACATTTAGAATCGACGTGCGTTTTAGATTATTTCACGAATATAAGTTTCCACGTGGTAAGCCACTTTGTCGCGCTATACTGTGGCCATGACGCTGCTAAAAAAGAGCTACGCAGTTCGGTGGTTCTTAGCTGGTAAAATAAAAAATGGTATTTTATAGTTTATAACTTTTGGCTAAGTGATATTTTGCAAGAATTATTTTTGCTTTTGTTATTTTTCTCAGTTTTATTCCAACTGTGCCTTCAGTGTCTTGTCATGAGACAACTCGTTAATTTTGACCACTTGCAGACCAGCCCATACCACCATGCATGTTGCCTGCGGCATGATATACCCCAGAACTACTTCTGAGATGACCTCCCGTTGACCTCCTTGTCCACGCTGGGTGCGCTGCACTCTCCTTAAACGGTCTGCGATGGAGAGATGTTTATTACATGACAGTCAAACCAAAAGTTTGAATTCTTTCGATCTGGAATGTTTCCATTGTGAGTGAAAACCTGAATTATGGATTTTATAGAAATCATTGGTGACTATGGCCGAGACTCTTGACTAACTACGATTGAGAACCTGTGTTCATGACGCTTAAAACCCCGCTCTGAGAGTCTCCGAAATCGGCGTTCGGAGCCGTCCAGCCACCGCATAAAACGTTGCCTTTGGGACGTTGTCGCGGTCTCGAGAACCGCTTGCCCAGCTCGTTTTAAAGCGGCGAGCCATATTCCTCCTCCTCGGTGTCCTCTGAACCCCCGCCACCGTTTGTGTATCGCCCGCAGCGTTGGTGATCGTGGAGGCCAAAGAGGGCGTCCACGGCGGCGTCATCAACAAGAAGGTGTTCGAGATGGGGGATTACCTGAGAAAAAGCGGCTACTGATTGCTAGAGACCCCAGCCCTCCTGCCCGACGCCCACGACCCCCAAACCAGCACCACCACAATAACGCAAGCGCGCACGTCATTCCTGCTTTTTCCCCGCTGCCTTCCCCCCCCTCACGGCACCGTTCTTTCTCTCTGCCGACCCCGCACTCCGCTCCCTCCCTCCGCACTCCGCTCGCTTCCTCCCCTCCTCCACCCCCGCCACGTGGACCTCCTTGCTCATCTCTTCTGGTCGTCGTGGTAACCGTCATCACGTTCCCTCGGAAACGAAAACGCCCTTGCGAGCGGTCGCAGGTAGCGGCGTGTTTGGTTCCCGAGCAGCTGCTGCTCCACACACTGGCGGGCAGTTTGCATCAACCGCGTCCCCCCCCCCCACCCTCCGCCTATCCCCCTAGCGCACCCTCGTGGTGCCGCGATCGCTTTAGGGCCCCCGTAGTTTCCTGCCGGATCCGGTTTCGGATATAAATTCAGAAACTTGGTCTCCAGAGTTGATGCATAACAGTGATTTTATTTGTTTTCTCCTCTGCGCCCATCCTCGCTCCATTTACTGGTTTAAAACGCGACGCTCGATCCGAGTTGAGCCAAGTCACCACCTGTTGCCCACGGCTGCACACCAGCCCCCCCGCCCCAGCTTGGGGGACGCGTCGACGTGCTGAGCGACGTCTGCGGTGGCCTAGGAGGCAGGCCTTGATCCCTTGGTGCCTTCGTGGGAGGCCGTGCGCTGTTGGCTTGCGTCGCTCGCCGGCGTAGAGATGAGTGCGTTTTCATGGGTCGACTTTGGCGATGACTTGGCGGCGCGAGGAGGAGGTGCGCCCCAGCTCGTGTCTCGCATCTCGTGCCCCGTTCATAACCACCTGGGTCATAGTCCGCACAGATTCTAAAGCAGTCCAATTAAAAAAAAAGCATGAATAGTTGTACAACTATGCACACAATTTGGCATTTGTTTTGCCTCTCCATCCTTTTTTAAACTAAGCCGACTCCTTTCTAAAGGCAAGTCCAGTGGGTAAGACCCCTGATAAGCTATTGTGGGTTTCAGAAACTCTGTACTGTAGTTAATAATTTACTTGCATGGCTAATAAGGTTTTTTGTTCCGATCAGTGATAGCTTTAGAGATGGGACATCTTGTTTTTCATAGATTTCTCTTTTTGCCTACAAACTGCTAACCTAATTCATCCCTCCCAACTCATCTACCCCCCCCCCCCCTTCCCTGCAACACCCTACTTAGTGTTATTGATTCTGTAGTTGAAACGATCACCCTCCAAAGAACAGCATATCTAACATGATTTGTAGCGACAGTCGAGCATAAGCTATCACGCCCACCACACTTATCATACTGATTGCAAATGCTGATTTAGGGCAGTGTTTTATAACATAGATTTAAAATGACTTAACAGTTGCTGCTATGGCAACAGTTGTTGGTGTTACACAGATTGGCTTGTGTGGTTGAACCCTTAGCTTTTCAGTTCATGGAGAGAGAGAGGGAGGGAGGAAAGAAACGCGTGCGTCGCGCAATGCAGCGTTGCTCAGAAACCTTTGCTAGAATAATCTGTCGGGGTGTGTTGGCGTGTGCCATGCATTCACGCGGTTTTGTTCTTCGTGGGCACAGCCCTTAAGGCATTTTCACAGCGCCCCCCCCCATCGCCTACCCCCATCCGACCCACAATCCCCTTCTCCCAAACAAACCCCTGCCCCCCCCCCACATGCGTAGCTTCACCCAGGTGGCAACTTCGTTGCAGGAGGACTTTTAAATTGTAATTCCCATCCAGCCAAGTCTGTCTTTGGTGCAGTATCCTTGACGTACAACTTAAGCCCTACACTGCCCTGCCCCTCCTTGTAAGTCCCCGTTTGCTTCTGATGTACTTAAAAAAAAGTCCTCATAAATAATGCAGGCAACAGTTGAGGTATCGCCATGCCCCCCCCCCCACCCCCCATTACTCTAAAAGGCTTTTCTCCCCGCGCATCAATGCCGCAGAAATGTGAATGACATGAATTCTTGGTGCAGACTACATAGCGAAATGATTACACTGTCGGAGAGTTACGTACCCGCAAATGAAGGAAGCAACACTTAGCGTCACGAACGTAAACATTGAGTACACTACGAGTATTTTCCTTTTTTAGTTTGCATGCACACCGTTGTATTTTCTTGCAGTAATCGTGCACAGAGCAGTAAGTACAATTGACTTTTTAGTTTTAGGGGAGCAGGGGAGAAGCCACTTTTGCCTAAGCCAGAGTTGACATTCCAAGCGCGGAGGAAAGCTCGCATCCAGGGCGATGCAATTGGACGGCTGTTGTGTTTGGCCACGTGATTGATTTTCTTTTGGTTTGAAATTTTGTCCGAACGCTGCTAGGATTTGGAAAGTTTTCTCTTTGAGCTTGAACGAAACAAAACACTATCTGTACACATTTATAACCCTTTGACGGTGCTAGATGGTCAGATTTTACCTTTCAACGTTGCTCCTCCGCGCAGGTGATGTAGTGCAGGGACTTGCAAGGGCTTTTGACGTGAAGGATTTGTTTAGAATCCCCCACCCCCATCAAGTTAAAGACGGCCAGCAGAACCTCGCTTCCTTGTTAGTTTACTGGAATCTAAACAAAAACTCAAACTCTGGCTTGGAATAAAAGGACGTCATCCTGGTTGTGGTTTGAAACGCTGCCGTCCGTCAACGGTCGCTTGGCAAGAAATCCCCTCGGTGTGACGCTTCTGTGACTGGCATTGTAACGCTGCGATGATCTTGTTACGCCTGGCTCACACTTGGGTAAAACGTGACGGAGATGGCCCTTGACGATGACATTTTAGGAATGCCTGGCAGTCGCTTGGTCATCGCCACCTGTGAACGCGGCCGAATGCTCGCGTGAAACCGAACGTCGTAGTCCGTTGGCCAAAGGATGGAACTGCTGCTCCCTTAATGAACAGCTAATGCTGGCCCATAGCGCATGTCGCAAATCGCCACGGCAATACGTTTCTGATCGCGTCCGCTTCCTTGGGTTTTACCCGTGCTCGCGATCCGTTCTTACGACGTGACGAGTGATTAAAAGAACATGCACCGACGTCCGGTTCACGGTTTATGGCGGCACGGCGCATCGCACGTCACCCAAGTGTGAAACAGGCTCTTAACATTTCTGACATTCGGATAATTGCTCAAACCTGAAACCAGTCAGCTGTATGTTGCTCAGTACACCGCAAGAATGGTACTTGGACTCTTTATCTTTTTTTCAAAGCCACTACATTTTTGGTAAGACACTAATCTACGGCAGTGCTTTGAAGTAGCATGCTCGCTCTAGTCGACCTTTGACTTGGGTTTTTTCCGTGAAGTTTTGTTTCTGTTCTCTTTGCGGCACTTACCGAAACGTGTAATGAAGGACGTTTTTGTATTCCCAAAATGTGCTTCATGTGTTCTGTACCAACAAGCCATACAGCTGTAGTGGTTGCCATATTTGTCATACTTGTTGTACCGATATGAAGACAGACAAGGAAGAAAATAAACGCTGTTATCTCACGCGCTGTGCAGACTCGTGATCGCTTGTAGGAATTTGCGCTCGCGTATTACGGCTACAATCTCTAATACAGTGTGTCCATGAAGATGTATTCCATTATTAAACATAACAGTTTGAGTCAGCTCAAACTAGACACTTGGGAGGATGAAGATTTTATCTGACGTTCCTCTCTAATCTCCTTCGCATGCCCACCGTGGCTTTGGCGACACATGGTGGCACTGAGATTTCGGAGAATTCTAGATTTTCTCCAACTTCTCGTGTGTGCGAGTTTAGAATTATTTTCTTCCGTGCTGCTCAAGGTTACTTTTTCGGTTTACAAAAGAGTCTATAATCAAAATGGTGCCGAATTTTAAATCCCAGTTCAAACTGCTGTCGACTTAATCATTTTCTATTGGACGGCACCTTTCATGGACACTTTTCAGACCCTTTGCTGGTTGAAGCCCTGTGACATTTCGGTGATGGAGGGGGGAGGGGCTTTGACCATACTTCACCGACTTGGTCAGTGCAGGATGGTGAATGGGCAACGCCCAGATACCATTCGCTACAAACGTTTCCGATGGTCGATAGTCGCACTGTTTGCGGACTTTGGAGCGTTAAAGTGCATTGCACTATTCACTGCACCACCACCCCCCTCCACCCCCATAGCCTCTTGCCTGCAGCTACGTCAAAGATGGCTCCCTGTGATGCTGGTGTGGGACATTCGTGGTTTCTTGGCTGTCTGAATTGCCCCTGCTCCAACCGGCCTATGGTATACCTGTGTGGGTGGTGTGTGTGGGTTGTGTGGGTGGTGCGTGCGTGTGGGGAGCGGTCGTGTCGCGGTGAGCGCTGCGCTACAAACCCGGCGATCCGGGTTCGATTTCCGCTCACAGCCGACGCCGGTGACGATTATCTGAACCGGTCCTGGGCCTCCCCTAGGTCGACTTGCCTCAAATGAGTACCTGGTGTGGTATGTAAAAACATTACCACTGGGGAGACAAAGGCGGCCGGGCATGGTTCTGGCCGCCCACCCCCTCGTATACCGTGCCGGCCTTGATAGAGGCTCGCTAACAGCACTTGCCCCACCAGTCTGTCCAGGCTATACGGTGGAGCTTTGTTTTTTGTGTATATATAAAATGCAACAATCGACTAAATTACTAGAATACCCATCAGGCTACTGGAGTAGAAGGCAGAAAAAGTGACGAACGAGACTACAAACGAGGAAAACAGAAATTAGAAGAAGAAAAAACTTGTCTCGAATCGTGACGATGCTTTTGTGCGCGTGCGATCGATGTTGCGCTTGAGTTGGATGCTCATCGCAGGCCGCTTTCCAAGCCGCGATCTCGGCAGTGCGAGCGCAGTGCCCTGACCTCGTCTGCCTTTGTCCGCAGTCGATCTTTCATGCTGAAGCCCTTGCCAGGTTGCCCCGACGCGTCGACAGATTCGTTACCGCACGTGCCTATTGCAAAATAATGATGATTTCAAAAAGAAACTCTGCACAAAAAGTAATTCGCTAAAAAAAATGTAAAGTTGCACGGCCAGACGTGATCGCAGCACCACCACCATTGCAAGGCAGCGGAATCATTCAATTGGCAGAAGCGTTGATGCACGGTCTCATGAGTCCATTGTTTATGGGCTGGCTGCGGTGGTAGCGTGCCCACGAGGAATGAAGTGCGCGGCATTTCGTGCTGAATGTGTGAACGCGGCATCGCCACCACCACCATCATCATCGTTCTGGCCGCTTATGATTTCACGTCGCTGAAAGAGAGACCGATGGCGTGTGACGTCACCTTGACGCGTTGCGCTCAAACACGGCGCGTACGGCGGTCGCACAAGGAACATGCTAGCGTGCCCCCCCCCCCCCCGCACACTCAGTGGTGGACATTCAAAGTGAAAATGCTGAACATTGCCAATGTTAGCACTCTTTCACAATTGCCACCCTCCGTGGCGATTTCGTGAATTGTCTTGTTTTTGGGAGACGCGATTGGATTCAATGATTTATTTTTCCACACAGTATGTCAACAAAAGGTGGTGCATGCAGAGATGAGGTGACGTAATAACGATGCCTTGCAAGTGTCTCGAGTTCGTGCGGGGACACGGTCAGGGCTGGGTGTGTGGGTCACACAGAGGACGAGAGGCGACGCCCAGAGGAAGCGTCCAAGAAGGGGGCCGCTGGCGTGGAGAGAGCGGTAGGGGGGGTCGGGGCGGGGGGAGAAGGAACCCCAACAGCAGCACGCACATTGGTGGGGAAGAGGAGAGGGGGGTTGTGAAGAGAACTGAGACAAAGGCTGCCCTTTGTCTCCCCAGTAGAGATACACCCCACCAGGTGCTCATTTGAGGCGGAGTCGACCTAGGGGAGGCCCAGGACCGGTTCAGACAATCGTCACCGGTGTCGGTGGCCGTGAGCGGGAATCGCGAACTCAGGTCGCCCGCTCCGTTGCGATGTGCACAGACACACGCACACACACAGACACGCACACACACAGACACACGCAGACACAAGCACACACGCACACACACAGACACACACAGACACACACACACACGCACACACACGCACAAACACAGACACACGCAGACACACAGACACACGCACACACACACAGACACGCACACACACATACACACACAGACACAGACAGACGCACACGCACACACACAGACACACGCAGACAATGCGCCTTGTCGCCAGGCCGAGGGAGATTTGGGTTGCCGCCCAGCTGCTCTGCCATCCACAGCTGCCGCTTGACGCGTCTCGCGAGAGCTCTGCGGGGTGGTGGTGACACGGGGGGGGGGGTCCCCGGCGAGGAGCCACGGGACCCCCACGCTCGTCACAGTGGCTGTGACTCGTCACAGTGGCTGTGACGAGCGTGGCCACACACGTGGCCACAGGCGACGACGACTCGGCGGCGGTGATGATGATGATGAGGTCCCCGTACTTCAGCCAGGGGAATAATAAGCAACGCGCAAGACGCACGACACTCCCCATACCTGTGTCCGCGTGTGTTCCGCGCGTCCCATTGACTGCACGGCCCTCCGGGAGTGACTGATGTCTACGCCGGCTGCATTGGTTCAACACAAGCAGCCTGTGTCGGAGTTGACGTTCACGGTCTCGTGAGCTGCCTCGAACAAGCAATGGCGAACTGTCAGAGTCGTTGCTAGGCAAGGACCTTCTCTGTGGTATGCGGTTGCTAATTGTAAAACTATAAACTGCAATACATGGCACGAAATCATCGTCATTGTGGCGAATATAAGTAACAATTTATGCACGTAAAATGTGCCTCCCTATGATGTCTTCGCAGTTCAGTGCCAATAAAATAAGTTTTTTTTGGAGATGAGGTGGAAGTTGAGATCAAGGATAGAGAGGAAGTAAGATGAGAAATGAGGGAAACTTGAGACACAAATGTTGTGAAATGACAGCGATGTAGACAAGAGGAATCACGTCGCGAGATATTGGAGTTTATTTCATTTAACTAGGTGAGATCTCAAGAGACCAGGATGGCCTCGTTTGCAGGAGTGACCTGGGGCGCTTTGTGTATAATCCCAATGGAGTCAACTGAGTTTCAGTTTCAAAGTTGCCAATTTTGGACCCTGGCCGAGCTCTTGCGAATGACGCCAGGGCCTCTCTAACATCTACCGTGCAGCAGACGGCACCTCGTGTTTACCGTGGCCACTGCACCACCGCAGTAGTAACCAGCGCGGCCCGTTGGATTCGAATTGTGAGGCCGGCGAACGCCCTCCCGCTGGGCCACAGTACCCCGCCTGTGCGAGATAAAAACAACAGAAGATGGAAGATACACTTTCTATTTCTGTAATTGGGGTGTTATGCTAATTAGGATTTAATTTTGAGACGGCGTGGTGGATTCGTGTGTTCTGTATAGTGTACTGTACTGTACTTGGGGGCTGAAGCTTCTTGCTCGGCGTGTTTCATGGCGAGCGTGGTCGCCACTCTGCTACAACTAAACTATAAACTCGTTTGGGTAAGGCCCACTGACCTGTACAGCTATTTTTCAGAAGCGACCTGGCCACATATTATAGCTTAACGAAGTGCCTTATCATCATGTGGACATTTATAGTAGCCAAATAAATACTCTAAACGGGGAGGGGGAAACCCGGAGGACCCCGACACAAACCCACGCGGCCACGGGGAGAGAGAGAGACACGCAAACTCCAAATATACAGCAGCAGGCATCGTCAGGTTCGGAATCGAATCCACGACCTCCGATATACCAGGCGAGGTAGTCAACATCTACCACGACCTCCTGTATACCAGGCGAGGGAGTTAACATCTACCACTACCTCCTGTATACCAGGCGAGGTAGTCAACATCTACCACGACCTCCTGTATACCAGGCGAGGGAGTTAACATCTACCACTACCTCCTGTATACCAGGCGAGGTAGTCAACATCTAGCACGACCTCCTGTATACCAGGCGAGGTAGTCAACATCTACCACGACCTCCTGTATACCAGGCGAAGGAGTTAACATCTACCACGACCTCCTGTATACCTGGCGAGGTAGTTAACATCGAGCCCTGGCACCAGCAGAGGCGAAGCAGGCGGTGCTAACGTTGTAAACGAGTCGCTTCCCTCTCGCGATCTCTTAGCTCAGGAATGTGGTGGCACAGTGCGGTTGTTCCGAGTTTGAGCTGTGTGTAAATGATAGTTATTCTCACTACATCACACAATCTTGCGAGTCACCAGGACTGTCACAGGCATTGGCTGCACCCCACACTTGCCTGGAGATGCCTCCAACGTGGGAGGCGAAACGTCGCGACGGAGCCAAGGGAGCAGCAGCAGCAGCAGCATCAGCAGCGCTCGCCGCGGCTACCCCCGGGGAGAGCGGCCTCGCAGAGCGCGACACCGACTCGGTGCGGGACTCATTCGCCCCGCGTCGCACTCATTGGCAGCCGCTCTGCCTCCAGACCTCTACAGGGCAAACGCACGCGGCTTTGGAGTGTGAATGTTAACAGAATGGTACATTTCGATTTAAAGCTTTCGTGACTGCATGGATTCATATTCTTGG